CATACATTAAAAGAGTTCAAGCTTGGAACAGTGGTACGGATTGATTGCGAAGAACAGCGCCAACAACGAAACAGGGCACAAATGGACTGTCGCGAACAACAAAACGGGCAAGTGACTGGACGAGCTGGTGCATGATAAAATGATACTCCTTTAGCGCAGCCCAGTTCGAGCGTAAAGAAAAGGTGCTATGCAGTCAAGAAGGGGAAAGATAGACGATAGTGTGAGCACTGTGTGAACAAAAGCGGGCACACTGCACTGTCGCAGTATACCAGCGCACTATCCGGTCAATGTCCCGTTTGTTCACGTTGTTTGCTGCTATACACGAAGAAAGTGACTTCCTTCGGCCCAGCAGCGCGATGTTCCGTCTTTTAAGAAGGTCGTGTGTGCATAGTCGTAATCATGATTAACCTGACTGCGTCCGCTGCAGGGCAAGTGCCTCTCGCGTGTTTCGCCAGGCAACGCGGTACTCCGCTTGCTGCGGTCGCGTTGATTGATTGATTTGTGGGGTTCAACGTCCCAAAACCGCACATGATTACGAGAGACGCCGTAGTGTAGGGCTCCGGAGATTTCGACCACGTGAGGGTTCTTTAACGTGCGCCCAAATCTGAGCACACGGGCCTACGACATTTCAGCCTCCATCGGAAATGCAGCCGCCGCAGTCGGGATTCGATCCCGCGACCTGCGGGTCAGCAGCCGAGTACCTTAGCCACTAGACCACCGCGGCGGGGCGCTGCGGCCGCGTTCTGTCCGAGAAAACATCTTTACGCCGTCAGCCCACGCAACTTTCTGCCTCTATCTATACAAGACAAGGCGCGCGTGCCGTGTCCTGGTATCTCGCTAACACGGATGATGGCTAAGGTGTTTAACAAGAAACCAATCCTGGCGACATATGCACATAAGGGAAGCGGCAGAAATATGCGAGGAATGACATTTTCACTTCATATGAAGAGGAACAAGACAGATAATAATGATAATACTTGGGGTTATTTAACGTCTCAAAACTTCGATACGATTATTAGAGGCGCTGCAGTGTAGTGCAGAGCAGTGCATTTGCTCCGCAAATGTCCGACAGTCTGGTGTACTTTACTGTGCACTGGCATTGCACTAGTACACGAGCCTCTGCCATTTCGCCTCCGTCCAAAGACGACCGCGCCGCGGCGGAGACTCGAACCCACAACCTTCGGGCCAGCAGGCCCGAGCACCATATATCCACTGATCCACCGAGGCGGACGAGAGAGAGAGAGAGAGAGAGAAGGACAAGATACACAGGGAGGTTCACAGCTGGTGCACACTGCAAACGAAATTTTCCAGATTGTGCTACGGAAGAAGAGTGAGGGTAGAAAAAATGAACGAAAGAGAACGCATGCGCTGAAGAGGGAAGGGGGGCTTATCTCTGCACTGCGCATGCGCACAAGAAAGGGCAGTAAGGCCGACATCGGGAGCGCATTACAAGGCGGCTGGCTCACAATCTTTACGGCTCGACGCACTGAGCCCCCGCGGTCGCTCATCCGCGAGGTGTGATTTGTGGCCCGCTCCTGGGGGCTCCACTAATAAATTCCTCGTGTTGAATTCCTCCGTGTCGGGCGGTCAAGAGGAGTGCGGCAGCTTGGGCTGGTTGGTATGGCATGACGATAGTTATAGCGCGAGAACAAAACGACGACACAGAGACAAGAAGGACACGAACAGGAGTTGGAAGTCAGCGCTCGTGTCCTTCTTGTCTGTGTGTCGTCGTTTTGTTCTCGCGCTATAACTGTCGTCAGGTCAAGAGCAGTGAAGGAACGCAAAGGAAAAAAATAAGTAAATAAATATGATATGTAGGGTTTAAACGTCCCAAAACCACCATATGATTATAAGATACGCCATAGTAGAGGGCTCGGGAACTTTCGACCACCTGGAGGTTCGCTAACGTGCACCCAAATGTGAGCACACGGCCCTACAGCATTTCAGCCTCCATCGGAAATGCAGCCGCCGCAGCCGGAATTCGATAAATGAATAAACAAATAAATGAGAAAGAAAAGAAAGAGAGTCACTGACAGAACGGCTGCCACCGAGGTGAACGCAGGCTCTCAGAGAAGCACTGAATTCAGACGAGTCCATTTTGATTCATGTTAATGATTCATATTGGAGTAATTTAATTCGTCCTTGATTAAAAAGATTATTAAATTTGTTCAATTCACTATTTGCTTGATGGCGATTATCGTCTAACAAGGCAGAGGAACGAAATGGAAACGCGCACCAAAATCATCATAATAATCATCACATTTTCAAGGGCGGAGGCCTCTTTCATGTTCGGTCAATTAACCCACCTAGTGCTGTGCTTACGGCACCATCAACAGTACGCGCAGACTTCTTAATCTTATAAGAAGAAAAAGAAGCGTAAATTCGAGGGCTCCTTTTCTTCGCTATACACAATATTGATGAGAAGCAACAGACAGTGATGCCAGGGGAAGTATAGGGGATGTTATCAGAAGCATTTGTAATGTAACTGTGAAGGAAGTGGACGAAGAGATACCTAGCCGTCGGCAGGAACCGAAGGCTGCGACCACGACGGAGGCTTATTAATTTTCCTTTAACTTCCTTGGCTGTGACATTGGAATAACGCGTCCGATGCTCCAACACTGAGCTATGGCGGCGGTTATTCCTCCATTCACCTCATAGGGTGTGTACGAGCACATAAACGCGGGAGCGTCAGTCATCCTTACCAGTATAGCCATTATTAGCCGCAGTTGTCATAGAAGCACGTTTAATTTAGGTGTACACGTTAGAGAACCCCAGGTAGGAGAAGTTTCCAGACCCCTCCACCACGGCGGCGTCCCTGATAACAATATGGCGATTTATGGACGTAAAGCACCAACAATACTTATTGAGCAAGCCACGAACTACTGTTTGAACAGTTGATGGATGAAGAAAAAAAAATCTGAATCCTTTTGACTGGGCGGGCTACCCACGCCACCTATACTGAGTGGACCACTCCTGCCTTGGTTTTAACCACCAACTAGGTAACTTTCATATGGTCAGTTCTACACGTATGAAGTTTGTGGATTGGTTAGCCGACATCAGGCGAAACATCTGAAAAATAAAACAGCTCAAGCCACCTATACTCTCTGATCTGTCATCTCTGTTCAAATGAAACTCTTATTTCGGGAAGTACTTCCTTGAGCAATGTATAGTAACAACCCGTTTGACAAGCCTCGTGCGATTGGAGTACACGAGACGCAGTCTGCTCGTTCTAGGCACATACAACCAGTAAATATGTTCTTCAGGGATACAAATCGTTCAACTTATAAAATGTAACTTCATGCGTTAGCTGTCATGTTTTCAGACAAACGTTAAAAAGGGACCAGAACACGAGGTAAACACATACGTGAAAATTCGCAGCTTGAAAATTGAGCTTACAAACTACATCCCTTAAATCGACAGTGTTGGTGCTAAACTATACTATGTAAGAATGCATAAGGTCTCTCTTTTTTTTTTTTCGAACGTTTAAATGTTGTGATTTACATTAAACCGGGTACTTTATATTTCCCATTGCCATGTTATTTAAACCTATAGCATCACGTTTTTGTATCTTTACCATAGCTACATAATCCTATTTTGCTTGCATTTTATTGTTCGTAGTGCGTTTTGTTATATTAATGCTTCCAGTATTTTCAGTTCCTTTGTACAGAGCTACTTAAATTACTAAGAACTTTTATTGACAACGAAATGTTAAACACATACACTATCATTGTTAATGCATACTTTTTTTCCAGACGTATTATATAGCACCTCTCCTAAACCTTCGTTCATAATAATCATGAACAAAAATGGACAGATAACTAGCTACACGGTCTAATGGTCCAAATGATGTTGTAACCACGAAGGGCAGCACCCGGAAATTAACTTCAGGGGGTTTTATGTGTAAGACGGCTAACTTTGGCGACTGGTGGTCAAGGTGAAGGCATGTAAAAACTTTAGTATCACCGGGAAAGTCAATTCATTAAAATATTTTGGGGGTGTCAGAACCCCCTCAATCCCCCCTTCAGTTACAGTCCTGCAACGTATTTTGATGATAATAAAACTCGACTTCATCCACATACATAAAAACACGTCAAACATTCACACCATCAAAGCTGAAACTTTGCTCGCCAGATAAGTACATATTACAGCGTGCCGATTGTTTTATCAGTAGTTTGATAAGTTGCTGTAACTGTTTGTTGGCTATTTTACATGTATTCACCCTTACGACAACGTTCTAAAAAGGTACTTAAATTACACGTAACCAGAATTGTTAGACTGGCATCGCGTAGTTTTTAATGAACGCAACAGTTAAATGAAAATAAGAGATGCGTAGACTGCGAACAGGAGATCCCCTTTTCGAAAGTAAATATATAAAAACAAAAAAGAGCCCGTTCACGGGGGAAGCCTGTCGGCCCGTTTCAAGTTCACGGTCGGAGAAAGCGATAGAACTTGCTATCGATTGTGCTTTTTTTCCTTCGCGCTTCGTGCGAAGGAATAGGAAATCGGCTGTAGAAGTTCAAACCCTAGATGTGCTCAACTCAAAGTACCGGCGACAAGTGCCAAACTAAATCACGAAAAAAAAAAAAGGGAGCCGGGAGGGGGGGCGAGAAAAAAAGAGAAACCCATCAGCTGTCGCTACTTTAACGTTTGCTTTCCGATTAAAGGTTCTACGAACCGCACGCACCACACAAGCAACATATCTGTACATCCTCGTCCCAAGTTGCATCAAATCGCATCAAGCCCGAAAGCCGTGCTTTTTTAAAAACGAAGTGCCGGAATCCTTCACCGCCGAGGAAACGGACAAAAGAAGTCGAGAGCGACGTTTCGGCTTCGTCGATCACCCAAACAATCTCGTTTAAGTGTAACACACTCCGTAAAGCGCACGAACCAGACAACAACGGCAACAAACGCATCCGCATCGTGATGGGAGGAGGGGGGGTCAAATGTGAAAAAGAAAAAAAAAAAAAACATTGTAGACAAGCAACACAGAGTGAACTCACCAGTGGGGCGGCACGCGCTGATCGGAGGCGTCCTCGTCAAATCATGTTTCAAATCCATGACGATGTTGTGAACACCGCCGGCGACGTTCAACGAGAAACACTTCCACAGCACGACGCGCCTCCTTGTTCAAATCTCGCACGGCGTCGACACCAGCATCATCGGGCCGCACACAGCACAGCGCCGTCACAACTCCCAACAACAAAGCGGCGAGCGCGACGCCAGGGCGCTTTCAACTCAACACTGCGAGTCCGCGCGGCGTGCTTCACGGCGACCGATGCGAACGACCACTCGCCGTCAGAGGCGCTGGCGCCATAACGCGGTCCTATCGCGAACTAAACGTACCTCTGTCGTGACGCTGTTCTGTGGTGACGCCCCAAACATAAGAGTTTCTCAAAAATTAACAAACTCTATGGCCCCAAAAACTTTGCTACAAAGTTGGCCGCATGAACTCACGAACACTCAGAAACAAAAGGACTTGCGCGTTACTGAAAAACGAATATAAAAATCAATTTAAAAAACACTCAAACAAAACTTTAGATAATATTAGTTTATATTATTGTCACGAGATGCCGCAAAAAACGGCGAATAGTACACTTTCAGGCTAATTTTTGGATTTGTTTATTGCAATACGGTGTAAATAATCCGCGCGGTGTGGAAGATCAGCGCCAAGTGGGTAGATAGCTCGTCACGTTGTTATATAAATGAAGCTCCAGCGGCTCAGGGAATGTCACGCGAGTTCGAGTGATCGATAACAGGCCATCGACAGTGAAAAGCTACTCGCACGGAATGCACTATCCGATGTCAGCCTGCCGCGCGCGTCATGCTTCTGTGGTGACGCGTGCAACTCTGATCTACGCACGCAACCAGCTTGTTGCAATATGCGCTGCATGAAAGACAAGATCGTGCTTAACTTGTCGGCTGGCCGCCTTCTCGAGAACGTTCATTATCCCTCAACAGGCTCAAGGAATGCGCCCGAACGCGCACCCAGTGAAGAAAACGGGTTTTACCGCCACCCGAAAGGGTGTTCATTGAAAGGGAGAGAGAGAATTCGTGGTAATGGTGGGCGGTAAATCATATTCCGGACGCCTACGCCACGTTGCTGACCAGCTTCGGTTTGACGGCCTGTGGTCTGTCCCTACCTTGTTTGGCCGAGCTAAGCGATTCGCTGTAAAATAGTAAATTCGAAATGTTGCTCGTGTAGCAGACGACGCCTGTCTGGTAGCTGGACCGCAGCAAACAAAAATAATAACGTTAAATTTTTACGGCAGAATTCCAGATGATGCAAAAACTATTAGTAAAATTTTCTGCGTTAAAATAAGTAATGCATTTTTTATTATACATCACTCACTCACTGAAACAAGCACTGCAATTTCCATGACAACCACGCGTTACGAAAGAGCATGACCTACTACACTCCTGACCTGTTCAGATAGCGGGGTTCCTATGGGAGCGCGTGTCCCCGCTCTCGTTCAATCGCTCGCCGTAGGTGGCGCTACCTATAACCTGTTCGTCTGCTTCTTTACGGTTGTTTTGTAGGCGCTGGTATAAGAATGCCTGCTTTCTGTGGTGAACTGTCGGCATATATGTGACTATTTCTTCCCATACATTGCTGGTCAAGTAAGCTGTTCAGTGCGCTTAAGAATTTATAGCACACTGGTTGACAAACGTGGAAACCCGTGGATTTACATGATTTTGGACAGCCTATGCGTTGTCGCGTGCATTTTATTGCAAAAAAAATTCTGAATGTCTTTTAGTATTATTATTTCTGGATATTTCTAAATTGTGGATCATAAATTCGCACTACGAGTGCTTTGTTGGTTAAAATTTGACTACAAAGAGTGAAGGTGACGTCAGCGAACAGGTGCTGCCTAGCGCCACGCCGCTCGTAGGTGACGGCCCTAGCGGCAGAAGGTATGAACTAGAACGTGGGCGCTGGAAGAGGTGCTCTCTGGGCAGGTCAGGAGTGTAGTAGGTCATGCGAAAGAGGGCGTCCATTTCAAACATGGCCGCCTACAAGAAGCCAGCAGGCGCTGGTCGCGACCATCTGGATATGAACGTAACCTTCACTCGCACAATATCACCGGACAAAATAGGTAAACTGATCGTGGAAATCGTCAAGTACGTCCTCTACGAGCGCGAGCAACTACCGATGCCATACGACGACCTGAAACGCCACGTCGAAGACGTTGCGCAAAGTCAGAGCGCTCAAAAGAAGGTTAGTGGCCGCCGATTCAAAAACATCGGTGCATGTTTCACGCCAAAGAACAGGAAGTGCTGCCTTAAGTTGACCCTGTGGTGTTGATTAACAAACGCGACTCATAAGAGCTCGATTCATATTTCGCTTCTTTAATTGCGCTCTTCACGTCAAGTGTCCACTTAGGGCGTTGAACTTCCGGCACACTTCGATGACCACGGTGTGCCTTCGATATGCCGCGCGCTTTCAGACCACCATCTGACTTTCCCGGGACTTGTTGTCATGGTAACTACGCGACTAGCGTCACGTGCCCACCGGGTGCTGTACTGTAGTGGAGCCACTATAGCTGTACTAGTACGTCCACGGAGGAAGGAAAAGTTTTTCCTTCCTCCGTGAGTACGTCAGTTGTACGACCGAAGTTCCGCTACACCAGTCCTCCGCATTTGCGCATTCATAAAATTTCGTGGTTTTTGTCAGTTCGTATTCATTGTTGCTTTGAGCGACTAGCGAAGTCCTGTATATGTTTCGGCCTTTTCCTTTTCTTTTTTTTTTTCGATGCGAAGCAGCTCTGACTAGCCTGTGTAACGCTGACCCTCCGTCCGCACTGCTCCCCTCGCCGCAAGTGTTTTGGTGTGGGTTGCGGCGAGGCTTCACACTAATAGTGCGAAGACGAGAGAAAGCATATGAGCTGGTAGCATTTTCTGTTTTTCACCGTCACTACCCTTTGCCACTCCTTGATATGCTGTATGTGGTTATGTCATGGGCACTCTCTCTCCATCTTGCTATCTCTACTGCTTTCTTGGATTCTCTATTCATTTGTCCTTCTGTAATGCTTTGTTTTATTATATTTCTTTCCTGTGTCTTTCTTCCCCATCTTTATATCTTTTTCTTTCTCTTTCACTCTGTACTCGTTCACTCGACCATCCTAGTTATTCGCATAAGCCTAAGTCGCACTTACTTCTCTGCCCGATTTGCTTACTATACTATACCATCAATGGCTAGGCCATGCTTTGCTCTCTCCCATGCACCTTTCCTTCATTCTCGCCTTCAAACTTGCCCGCAAGTACCCTTCCCATCCCCTTGCTGCACTATAATCATGGCTATGGTATGCCAGGAGCTGCACTACCCGCTTTCTATGGCCTCTCCTTTATTCTCCGCCCCCTGCATCACTCATCTACACCCTCACTTCCCTTTGCAGCCTCCTTACTATACCATAATATGTATGGCTGTACAAGAACAGGAGCTGCTTTGCACATGTTTGCTTTCTGTGATGCATACCTGTTTTTTTTTTTGTTTTTTTTAATCCATGGATCATACCTTACACCTGGCTTAAGCAGCTCTGCTGTTAAAACTACGAAGTACATTCTCTATGCCTCTCTTGGAAAAGAAAACAGGTCCTACAGACTGGTTTCTTTTTTTTTATACAAAATAGTGTGGCTCACCATGAATTTGCATAAATCTATTGCAGGCCGTTGATCCTTTCCTGCTGGCCAAGCAACGCAAGGCCATCACCAGCCTCCAAGGCATGGACGCCATCTTCAGTGTCGCTCAGGACCTCATTCGCGAGCGGAAGGTCACTAAGGTCCTCCTGCTGTTTGGGGCCACTGCGATGTCGCCCGTTGAGAGCTACCTCATTCGTGTGCCGCAGCGCCGCCAGGGCTGCCGCAGCTGCGGAACGTCTGCAGGATTCCGGCGATGCATGCTAGACGTCCTGGAGGCCTTTCTCCGCGTTGAATCAACCCGCAGGGCGGTTGCCACTGCATCCAAGTTGACGACGTTTCTGCTCGTCAGGAGGGAAGATGTCGTTCTCAACCTCATGGATGTCAAGCCTAGCTTCGTCGTGCCACTTAAGGGCAATCTCACAACGCTCGACCTCGCGCTTCCGTCATGCCCGCATGATGTCCTGGAGGATGGCCTGAAAGTCTGGTCCGACGCCATCCAGGACGTGTCCACGTACGCCGACGAAGACCTGCCTCAGAGTTGTCCGGAGGAATTCGTGTGGGTGCAGTGCAAGCCAGTGTTCCAGACTGTAGGGGCCGGCACGTTTGTGAAGGAAGTGCCGTCCGACTCTACGAAAAATTCACTTCTTAGATAGCAAGACGCACCAGCGGCACATTTTATCTCTGTCGCTAGCTCCTACTAAAATGAGTGTTAAGTGCCGCTCGTTACAAGAAGTTCGTGTCTGTGATTTCCCATACGTCAGCTTGCAGAACTGAGTACTTTAATTTGCTTCATGCAGATTAAGTATGGCAGCCAGCATGCAGTGGTTGCTATGGTGAGTTGGCAAGTCAGTTCTACACAGGCGGCATGTGTCTGCAGCTGCACAGACAGTTATAACTTTCCTGGTGATGAAGAAAGGAACTGTTGTCGACTGTTTGGCATCAAGCCACCTTGCTATTTCAACTTTGGCGTTATGTTTTGCCCATAGCCGAACAGGACACTGTGAGTGTGGTCTGATGCTGCAAGAGTTCAGTGTGTGTTCGTCGTGGAAGTGAGTGGTTCCTTTTGGAGCCTACCAGGATACTTTGCGGAAGATTGGTACGAGCTGGCACTTTAGATGGTTACCCTCTGGCACGTCCGCAGAAAATGAATCACCTGAGGCATCTAAAAACTCGATTCAGATACTGTGTTGCCAGAAATGGTGAGACTAAATATTTAATGTTAGCTTACACTACGGACTGCTGTGACAAATGTCAGCATTTAGGACAGCAACAACTCCTTGTGGGTCACATCAGCTCATTGCAACAGTTGTTTGTGTACCTTTTTAAGGTACGTATGATAGAGAATCTAGAGGGCCAACCCATCTTGGCTTTCAGGAGGAATTCCAACCTAAACAGAAAGTTGAGCGGTACGGTAGTGGTTCACGACTTGTGAAGGTAGACCCAGGACAACAGCAGAACGAAAAAACAAGGCAGTGTAAACGTTCTCTGTTGTTGCTTCTATTCCAGTTTCTTGGATTCACGAATGGAAAAGTATACTTAAATTTTATGTTTTGCAGAATAAGCACTACAGGCCTACTTCTAGAAACTTCGTATAAATATGCAAAAAGATGTATGTTGTAGGCCAAGAATGCAAGTTTGAATGCACGAAGTGTATAGGAGACCTTTGTTTAAACTTTGCCATGACATATGCTCAAACAATCTTGTGTAATTAGCCCCGCCGCGGTGGTCTAGTGGCTAAGGTACTCGGCTGCTGGCCCGCACGTCGCGGGATCCAATCCCGACTGCGGCGGCTGCATTTTAGATAGACGCCGAAATGCTGTAGACCCTTGTGCTCATATTTGGATGCACGCTAAAAAACTCCAGGTGGTCGAAATTTTCGGAGCCCTCCACTACGGCGTCTCATAATCATATGGTGGTTTTGGGACTTTACATCCCCCCATATCAATCAATCTTGTGTTTAAACTAGTGCCATTTCTGAATTAATTTGGTGGAGGGCACGAGTGTTGCATGTATAATTTTCACATACTTTACCTATATCCCCTTCAGGCGCGAATTAAATCTGACGTAGCGAAAAAAAAATTTTGTTCAGATTATGAATACATAACGCTATTAAAGAAGGAATCCACAAGAAATTCAGAAAAAAATTCATTGGTTCAATTTTTCAATGGCGTCCACATATGTGGACATTGCGCCTCAAAGCAGTCATATTGTCACGTGACCGTTACCCAAGCGCGCGCACGAAGACGCAGGGAAAGGAAGACGACGAAGGTGCGCCATGGCTTGTGCGTGGGTTTTTCGCCATACTGCCTGTTGTATAGGCTCTAGTAAATACATATTTTACATCTCGCTTTCCTTGTTGCAATACCCATGAACGGTGGAGAAGAAGAAAACAAACGCTTTTATTTCGGAGGCTCGCAAATAATCATTGCAGGAACACTGCTTAGGAAGTCTTTTCCGCAAAAATAATCAGAAAGAGTCTATTTGGTATGAAACAAATAAAAACAGTCGTTCTGAGATGTCAGACAAAGGAAAATGTTGCATTTCCTGCAGCGGACACGGCTTTTGGATGTGCATTCCTCTCTCCGGCAGCGTTGTGCGTTAGCCATGTTTACTTGCTGCGGCCAATGATTAATCCCATCATAGCGAACAGTGCTGACTGGTAGTGGTGAAGCATTGGGTACCTTCTTTTTCACTGTTCGGGAGTTGTCATTGCTCGGACGTCCACGCTTCTTTTGTGGCTTATTGCTGTTCAGCAGGCAATTCGCGACGTCTGTTTGGAACGCCATCATGTCCAGTGTCTCTTTTCTTAGTAGCCCTGCTTTATTGGCATCCCTTAAGTATTCAAGCCAACTGTTGGAGAGCGCAAAAGATGCAAAATGGGAAATCACTCTCACAGGCCACTTTTTCGTTCGCGTCCGCATTGGGTAGAGGGACATGATGAAGTCTAGTTTGTCTACTCCACCCATGTATTTGTTGTAGTCCAGGACTACCTCTGGACAGTCAATGTCAACGTGGACCTTTTGGGATTCGCTCCATCTTCTCACGGTGCCAATATTTCCAACTCCAAGGTGGGTAGAAGCCATGTTGACGGTCCCGTTGTCTTGCCAACGAACAAGGACAACTTCGTCGTTCTGGGAAACCCGCTCATCATAGCTTCCCCGTCCTTCTTTCTTCATTTCCTTGTCTGTTTTCATGACGCATCCTGCCAAGCGGTTTCCCCTAATTGTGCCACTAGCCAAAATGCCGATCTTTTTTAACTCAAGAAAGAGCTTCACGGACGTAAAATAATTGTCCATGTAGCACTTGATGTTCTGTGCCTTCGGGAGGCTTTCAACAAGGCGCATTACGACGGAGCCACCAAGGCCAAGATGTGCATGTTCTTTGCTCACTCCCGTTCCCTTCCCTTGGTAAAACTCAAAGTCATGTGCAAGACCGTCAAAACTGCAGCGTACAAAAACCTTCACGCCTTCTGGGTTCGGTTTTCCTTTCACAAATTGCTTTGCAGCAATGCGTCCTGTGAACGGCACCATCTGTTCATCGATGCTATTCTGTTCCAAGGGAACAAGCTGTAAGCAGCGGCTTCTGACAGCTTCTAGCAACGGCCTAACTTTCCAAAATTTGTCTTGGCTGTTCGGGTCCCGTTCTTCATTAGCGTCGCTTATGTGGAGAGCGCCTCTGATTTTGAAGAATCGCTTCACGCCCATCGAATCGGCTATTGCGGGAATCCTCGTTGCAGTTTGCCAATACATTCTGACGCGTGGGTATTTCAGAACACCCATCAGCATGAGCATTCCAAAAAATATTTTGATCTCTTCTTTTGTAGTGGCTAATACGGCACCGTCTCTTTGCAGGACATACCTGTTTGTGAATTCAGCAAGGTCTTCAAATATCTGTTCGGTGAAATACTTGCTAAAATACACAAGTGGCTGCTGGCATGTCGAGGCTACTTCAGGATTGTAGTGGCAGTCAACATCACTTGGAGCAAAATCTTTCTTCACCCATTTGAACTCAGCCTTCGTAGATGCCGCAGGTGCGTTCGAGCTGACCGTGGCGTCTGGTCGTGCAGGCAGTGCAGCTGTGGTCGTGGATGCGGTCACCTGACCATTGGCAGGCTGAAACAAACAGCGTAAATTAGGGTCAAAGTACCTTTAGACAGTTTGGTGCCATATGTTTCCCGAGAACACAAAATAATGTCTCACAATCTCGAGCAAACTTACTATGTTTTCTTCATTTTCTGCTTCCAATTCGTCATCTGAAAAGTCGCCATCTGAGATATCTCCATTTGATATTCTCATGAGGATTTCTTCTGCTGTCGCATCATCAACTTTCTGACGTTTTGAAGCATGATCTTCAAGTCCTGGAGACAAAAAATCACACATAACCATCATATCTGCGCACACGGTGCGAAATGGCTGCCCTGCAACAAAGGCAGCACTAAGGCGCAATGTCCACGATCGTGGACGCGGTATTTTACGCACCCTTTTTGACGTTATAAATAGTTTCTAGTTGCAAAAGTCTTGTTTATTGGCATGAGGTATCTCTTAGCTCTTACTGACAAGTGCATAATTTCATGCCACCTCGAATGAAACATAGCAAGGGCTTGAAAAGTGAGAGCCACTTACGTGCGCCGCCGTAAAACGTGGAGGCGTCCATCTTTGAGAGTTGTTTTTGTAGTTATTTTGTGTCAGCTGCGGCAGATGGCGCCACGGGTCGCTGCAGCAACATGTAGTGATAGAGAGAGCACTGGTTGCGCGCGAGATTCAAAGTAAATTTCGAGATATTGAGCTGTGAAGTTGGCGTCCACAAATGTGGACGCTGCGCCTGAAGGGGATATACAAGTAAAGTGTTCGTTTTTTGTTTTTGTTTTATATGCATGTTTATGTGCCCGGACATTGTCGTGCATGCTTCATGCGATGCCAGCAATTGTGAACTTATAGTGGTACGTGAAGCCTAATCACTATTGCACGACATTATGGTCTACAAGGCAAACAAATCGCCAAAATTTTCACACCACCGCAAGCTGTAGACAACCTTTGCTATTAACCCTTTTTTGGGGTGTTATAATTACTTAAAAAAACGGTATTACCGAAAAACTGTCAGCGTAGACCGTGTAGGGCTTTTTGTGTATGTGTATGGTTAGTTTTTTTTTAATGTGCAAATTGTTTACTCTGACTGCTTGATTGGAGCTTGGCAAAACGTGGTATGGCTTTAACGTGTGCTTGTTGAGTATGGTGCTGACTCTCATTTTGAGTAGTCTGAGCAGTTTTTTTACAATTTGTTATAACTCTGTAACGTTAAACTGTGCCAAACCATGTGCTCATTCGTCAGCATCACCGATCGTCACAATGTTGTCTCATCAAATCGCTTGCAATGTATTATTTTTCGTGCCATTTATAGTGAATTTTATTTTATAACAGATATTTGCATGCTCATCACTGCCATTATACCATGGAATACTTGTTAAATGATGGTTGCATTTATTGCACTGTACTTAGCGCATTGTTTTTGTACTCATGGGGAAATTGTGGTCACTGGGTATATAGATATTACTTAAGAAACTAATGTTTTTGTTTTGATTGTCTCTATATGCCAACATTAAGGATTTTTTATATGACAAATACGTACATTTTTTTTTTCGTATGAAATAGTCATAGAAAATTCAATGCCTGTAATAAACACACACCCAATGAAGTACGCTCAAACCTCGACATAAGAAACCCAGATGTAATGGAATATTGGTCATAACACAGTAAATGAAAAAAGTGTTGCATTAAATTAAGTGTTATTACAATAAATTAAGTGTTAGAAATGAAACTTAATAACAAATTTTTGGATATAACAAACTTCTTTTTACATAAACCGCAACTGTAATACAATATGATTTGAGTGTAGTAGTTAATGAGTGCATAGTTAATCAAATGCTTTGCGAGGATAAAGTTGTATGTTTCTGAAGAAATCATTCCTATGTTATTTGAAAACTTTGACCCGCATGTTCTGCGAGTTAAAAAAAATAGTGCTGTTTTGAACAAAAAAAAATGAAATCGTCTTATAGTGTCTACGCCAAGTTTCCACATCACACATTACTCACCATTTTCTTTGGCATATTTCACCGTATCTTTTATTTCAATAACGGTCACAAAAACTGTACATATATGACATTCCACAAGGGAACATATCTGTGTCATCGTGCTAGTGGCGCGATTGTTATTTACACGGCCATCTGGCTTGTTGCCCAAACAAATGTTCCGACGGTGTATGCGCCAGGAGTCTTTTTTTTTCTTGTACGTTGTATCGTCTTGTCTATGTTGGTGGGGAGAGAATAAACATGTACAAACATGAATGTTGATCGTTTGAAGAAAAAAGAAAATGTGTACGAGGACATGGTGCAGTTAGAAACATCAATGTTTTGAAACATACTTATGCATGCTCAATACTGTGGATGACGAAGTGTTTGCTTTGTGTAGCGAAACACATTTCTTGTGGATATGATGGCAAACTATTAGGCAATGTTAGCAGCACTGTAAGCAAACTGGCTGCAGTTAAATGCACATGAAAAACAAAAGCTTCAAAATTTTACTTTTTTCAACTATAGTACAACATCATACGAATAAGTTGTTCACGAGACTCTGGAAAAAACAGAAGTGCAATAGTTCAGAAACATATGACGAGAACATGTGGGTAAAGTCGAGGGTAAAATTAACGAAAAATAACACAGTGGACACATTCCCCACAGCCCTACCTCCGAAGAGTTGAATCACCAGTTTATGCCTTAAAAAAGTCCTTCATGGAAGTGTGGCATTCGTTTCACAACGATACCAGAACCTGTCCCTTTACGAGCATTTGAAGGCGTTGCGGCAATCCAGACTGCAGAACTCACTAAGGCACGTAAACCCGTGAGCAAAGGTATACGGACCACAAGTGCGTGAGCTGAAATCTATGCCTTCAAGTCGACAGCGGCCTGCTGTCGAGGGCGTTGCTCTGGCGGAATCGCTTGTCAAAATCATTAACTCTAACAAAATTTGACAGAGAAATACTCTCCACAGCAGACAGCAAAGGTGTAAAAACAGAAATGATCCGTATATGTCTGCTTACAGGTGCACCTCCTCAGCACATCCAGCACAACTGTTCCCAATGTATGAAGCAAGCAGAAATGTTGTGGGAACAACACGTGAAAAGGGGATTCTAATACAGTGGTGTCTGTAGATTTGTGGCTCGAAGTGGATACCAAGAACGTTCAACATGAAGAAACATGTAAGTGATGAATGTCTAAGCAGGGTTCAACTGTAGGTATTACCTTCGACTGTGGCCTTCAGACATATGCACTTTGTCAGCTGCTGTGCGTCACGACCTGGATTAACGCAGAGGCTATTTATATATAGGTCACTGTATCTGAAGAGGAATTAAAGCAAGCGCAGAAGGCCCAAACTGTTTAACACTGAAAAACATAATCTTCACTATAAGTTATAGGCATTAAACAACAGGCCACAAATTAGACACAGCTCTTGCGATAAATCCCATTCCTTGTAAGGCCTGGTGAAATGTATCCAGATAAAAGGCTAAGCTCTGAAATCTGTCAGACCGTTTTACCAGATCAGGAGTCAATGCAATGCACTCTGAAACGAAGACTCCTACGCTATACGATGCGTATCTTGATTACCAAACATAACTGCCAGAAAATGATTAGCACCGACCCACTTGGGAAAGCGGGAGGGCGATGATTGACAGAGAGTCTGTTGGATAATGCATGGTTAGAGATGTCAATTAATACTTTCTGCTAGCATTTAAAAAAAAAACATTCAGTCAGCCACAGTCCCCGTGGAAATGACAAACAGCACCGGCTAAGAACGTTGTCGTTTTTCACCTCAAAATTACAAAGTGCACGGCATTGAAAGGGCGCACTAGGCATATGATGACTCTCTCTTTCGAAACAAGATCATATCCATATATAGAATACAGACATCTTAAAGCGCAAGTGGCAAGAACATAACATAAAACAAATTCTGATAAAAGTGCACCATTCTTTAGTAATTTACATAATAGTTACCGACACATAGTGCATGCGAGGTGAGCCGGGAAGCGGCAGCATACAATAGGAAAATGTTCTGTATGTAGTACTCGCGACACGTAGCAAGCGCAAGCGTGGCGGCCGTCTTATCGGTCAGACATCTTCTCTGCCTCTCTTGGCTATTGCAAGGACCGAGTTAACACGACAAAAGCATTGAAATATGAATCAAAGCTTCCTGCTATATAATACTGATGTGGCTTGCAGATACACCATTTTATATCGGCAAAGCCACGGTATAAAAAACGAAAGACAGCGTAACAATGGAAAAAGTATCAGGACATTGCAAAGAAGCCCTCTTTGGGTGTTGGTGGGGGATACAGTGCGGAACAGGTGGTTCTCAGGAATATACATATATCACCACTTCGTTCGATAAATGTTTGAGGCCTTTTTCATAGCCAACATTATTCCGTAACGACAGGCGTGCCATTTTGCAGCTCGCCTCTAGTCTTGTCCCGTGGGTACAATATGTTACACTAGGACCTGCACCGTGTGCTGCGACCTCGAGCAAACTCGTGAAACAGTGGCCAAAAACTATTTGCAGATCGTTCAAATGTACTGTTTTCTCAACCTAAGTGGCATCTGTCGCCACAACGACTATCTATAGCCACCTTTGGGCGTTTTCTAAGCCGCATTGAACCTTTTTGTACATTCTTTACAACATATACAAGGGCTGTCTGAAGTGAGGAGCTAGATAACACGCCACTGTTTTCAACACTGGCAGCAGCCCATTTCTGCAGCTATGTTTAACATTACAGCATGTAGATACACTGTAATGTAGAATGTTAAAGCAGATCTATAAATGCCTAAGCTTCTCACGAATGAACAAGTACATCAACAGCAGGCAATCCACAGTAAAGGAGAAGTGCAGTGCGTTTGGATTGCGGTGCTGAGAGGGGGAGCACTAGATCACTGTTAAACGAGTCCACTCAAACTTCTATCGCTGCTGTGTGACAGCACCCTCATACGGTCCCTCTATCAAATGGCCACAAAATACTGAAGAGTGTTCTGTGGCAGGGACCCCGGCAATGTGCCATGGATTGAGCACGAGTAAGCTGCAAGATGGCACACCTGACTCTATGCTTCGGCGTACAATGTAAATTATCCCGCTCAGTAGCAAACACATGCGTGCTCAGGCGCGGATGTCTCCTCCGTGCAGCGAGATTGCCTCAGTACCAAGGCAGTTCCCTTTCGAACCCCAATCATCTCGGGCGGTCGTCCCTTCTGAACTCGAGAGAACCCTTGGAATTGAGGTAGTCACCTGCGAGCATGACGGGTTGCCAACATGCAAACATAAGGAACACAGATGGTTCGTAACTGTGAAAAGTTGAGACGAAAAGTTGAGGCAAACTTGACCACTTAAGCCTGATGGACATTGTCCTCTCATACTTTAAAGGTGCCCTGCAACACTTTTTCAAGTAGCCGTGGGATGAACTCACTAAAGGAGCTTAATGCCACAAGAATTTACTGCCGCAAAAATTTTTAGAATTCGTCCAGTATGAGTGGATTCGCGATGATTTATCACACTCTACAACTGCATTCTCTCTTCTCTCGCCCCGACGAAAGCGCTGGAAGCTAAGCACGGAGAGACGGCATGAGAAAAGAAAATACACCACACACTTTTCGTGACCTTAAACACTTTTTTTTTTCTCTTTCTCATATTTTTCCCATTGGAATACGCCTGCCTTCAAGTGCAATAACACGTGCACACGTGGACAAGTCACAACCTCCGTAATGACCGAATGCGCTATGCTCAAATCAGCCAATGGCTGACACAATGGCTGTGACGAGTGATTTTTCAGCTTGTAGCATCCTTTGTCGAGAGAAGAGAAAGCCATTTTTAGCCGACTATAAAAATTTGCTCTGAATTCCAGGCTGCGTGCTGCACTATCATATTTTGCTCGAGTGTTTTCGGAGAACCTCGACTATCGATAGGCAGCGTTTTCTGACCGTGCTTAAAAAGTGTTGCAGGGCCCCGTTACTTAATTGTCCTGCAAGCTTACAAATTTGCAGTGTTGGGCATCGTTGAGCATACAAATGGACCGAACAAAGAAAAAAACAATGTACACAGAAGTGGCACTTTTCTGTCCAATTTGGTTTCTCCTCTGTCCATTCACATGCATGATTCCGAGAATAACATGCATCAACACGCTCAGCAGGAACTTAAGAAACCGCACGGTCAAGTTTTGGAAGACAGATTACTCATCAGCATTTCTGCCCAACACAGCTAATACATGACGGTGCAATATCAGCATTAAAATGAAACCCGAACTGAGGCAAGCATTCGCAATGCATGTCCTCCAGTCATCACCACTGGCCAGTACATGCGTGAGGTTTGGCAGCACTGCCCACACGTGCACTTGTCCATGGTGATAACTCAATTGTGCCCACTGTCTTACTGCAAGTGCTTGCCGCTGTTCAAGTTTATTTGATGACAACAGTATACTTTCGTTTGCCACATTCAGCAGAATGTGCGGCGATGTTGACATTGACAACTCTGCGGCATGACAGTACAGCCCTAAGCGATGTGCAAAAGATCACTGCCTTAGTATTTTAAGCAACAATCCGCAGTGATTTGTGGATGCAAATTCAGCACTCTGGTTTGTAAGAGCTACTTATGAGCTTGAACATTTCGCATTATTGAGAGTTCTGTGCTTAACAATTGTGTTTTGCACTATAACCTGTCAAAAAATCAATTCAGAGTTACTCTTCATATTTCTCACGTACGTAGATGGTAAGTACTCCAGAGGGTTTGCAAACAAAATTACCAACACCTAGGGCTACAAAGACACAAAATCCAAGATGAACGAACTCGCTAGGCAAACAAGTGTGCTAACAAAAACAGGAAAAAGACTTTCTTAAAAGTGTACACCTTTTCTTCCTGGTAGAAAGACAGTCATTAGACCTTACCTAACAATTCTGCACAAAACTAAGGCTGCATCTCCAGCTTCCGGCAGGAATATGCAGTGCAGGAGTTGTACTGAACGTACTCACCGCTGCTGTTGAATTTGGCAATGGAAAGCTTGCGCAAGCGTCCGGACAGTCCCTGCTCCTGCCTGAGTTTCTTCACTGTCAGCGGCACTTGAATATCTGTAACACAAACAGTCATTAAATTGTGAGGTCTGGGCGATTCATCAAAAAGGTACATTCCCACATCTTTTAAATTGATACAAAAGAAAAAAAAAGCTTACTTCCTGTGCAGCACTTAATTTCACCAATCCCCAAGACAGCATAGCAATAGGTGGTGTTAACTCGGCGACACCAACAACCGCTTTGTCTCTTGGAAAAAGAGGAAAAATTCGATCACTGTATCTCGTTAACCAATCTGTGAACACTCAATTCATCCCATTACCTGTACAGTAAATTTCCATTCACAAGGGGTAACTCGGTGTTTTAAGACTTCACATGTGACAACGTCAACGACGGCAGAACTCGAGGCTCTGCGCAATGCACTGGAACTCAATTCAGAAGAAAGACCAGGTAAATGGGCTGTGTTTTCTGACTCAAAACCAGCGTTACAGTGCTTGATATCAGTTCTCCGACGCGAATGCCACGACCAGTTGACCTACCAAACCGTGAAACTTCACCACCTTTTAATACAAAAAGGCCATGACATCGTCTTTCAGTGGTTACCTGGGCATTGTGGTATAGGCAGCAATGATTCTGCAGATCATGCTGCTCGCACGTCACATAAAGAAGCGAACAGCGTTCCGATTCCACTTTCAAGAGCGGATGCGGCGAGGCAGATTCGTCAACTGGCCTGCAGTCTCACACTGACTGAGTGGGACACACCAAGCATACGACGTTCAAGACTGCACGAGTTTCGACCCTTCACTACAACTCCGGCCTCCACCCGGCCTACATCGACGTGCAGCTTCGCTTCTCTAACGCCTTTGGCTGGGAGTTGCTTTCACGAAAGCTTATACCACGTTAATCGGAATTACTGACAGTGCGACGTGCGATGTTTGCGGCACCGACGAAAATATCGAACACCTGCTGTACCATTGTCCTCGATTTGCCTCAAATAGACAAGTACTTGCCAACGCAATGCAGCGACTGGATGATCGGCCTCTTTCTGTGCAGGTGCTATTACAGCAACGTCCACATGCCACGACAGCCCACAAGGCAGTGAAAGCCCTGCTGTGTTTCCTGAGAAAGACAGGCTTGTGTGAACGCCTCTGACATGCGGTAGAGTTCTACACGCTGCAGTGAAATTACTGTCAGTCTCTCACCCACTCTTTTTTTTTCTTTTCCCTCTCTTCCCTCTTTCTCGTCTTCCTTGTCCCCTTCCCTAACCCCCCAGTGTAGGGTAGCCAACCGGATGTCTTTCTGGTTAACCTCCCTGCCTTCTCCCTTTTTGTTGCTTCCTCCTCCTCCATTCAATCGTTACTTTTTCTGTGGAAGTGGCCCTCTACGGTGGATAAGTAGAAATAAACAGTCAACTATCCTTTCATCTCATTTTTACTCTAAGAAAGACCAGGGAGCCAGTACCTCTCGTGTGCTGCACAAAACTTGTGAGATTAGAGAACCTAGAAAAAACTGCTATACCTTCTAAGCGCATGACTCTTAACAGCCTAGAAGCAATTTAGTTGTTGGCCTTAGGTACTAGCATGTGACAGTTACGGTATTTTAAAGCAAAAGTACAGAATAAATGAGTGCCTCCTCTTGCACAGGGCACTGAAACGTCACCAGCCACTTCAAGTACCAGGCTTCAAGTATCATTTTTAGGCTGCCCAACCAGTGGGTGCACTGAATTTTTCGTTCTATAGATTAGAAAGTGCTCAGTCATGCAGACTGCCGTTTGTGTTGGGCACATATTGAAAACACTGACAGAAAAAAAAACATTCAGACTGTTCTATTTCATATTCAAAGCTGACATAATGCAAATATATCCATATTCAACTGAAATGAAACATATAAATACTCCAGCTACAGAAAAATAGAGCACAAAGACCACATAATTTGAATAGAGTGATACGATGCAACGGTTTTCCTAGACGTACTGCAATCTCAACAAACATGCAGATAGAGGAAGACTATGAAACATGCACGAAGTTCACAAAACGGTTTTACTTGAAACTGGGCAAACTCGGCACACACTACAGACTTCGAATAGACAGTGAGCTCAGGACTACAAATTGTTTGCAGATTCAAGTATATATCCACTTAAACTGTGTTTCATGCCAACATGACACTTCTCTGAAAGAGAGGTAGACACCCGCGTTCCTGTGATAGCCAACATTAGCAACATATTTTTTTACCTTACTGTGCAGCACATCTACAACACAGAGTAAAACTTCATTAATTCAAACTCAGTTATTTCAAAATCCCACTTAATTCAAAATATTTTCACGGGTCCATATTTTTAAATGTAAGTTGAGCGAATAATTTGAAGCGGCGCAGTATCAGTTCAGATAAATCGAAAACTTTGGGTGCCACGTGCTAATTGCTGATTTCACTGCAAATCCATGCAAACGACGGCTCTTCAGAGCCACAAGGCAATGCAACGTAGCGACACTAATGGGTGGCAGCTTAACTACTACAGCCTGCTACTTTCATTCCAAAAAGAAAAGAAAAAAATTCACAGCTTATCCACGGAGTGAATGATGATAAGTGAGGCCAAGCATTCGTCTGTCTGTCTATCGGTCAGACAGACAGACGGACGCTTCGCCTCACTTATCATTATTCACTCCGTGGGTATGCTGTGAATTTCTTAATATAACAGCGTCTTCTTGTTAATCGTCAACTATATGAAAACCACTAACACCATGTAGTTACCGTAATTACTCGAATCTAACGCGCACCTTTTTTCCGGTTAAGGGAGTTTATAAATTGCATGCACGTTAGAATCGAGTACGAACAAAAAAATTACGATCAATCTATTGCCATCGGCAAATCCAAAATGGCCGCCCCCTACGTGCGTCGGCATGGCGCGTCGGCCATTTCTGCCTATGTGTTTCCCATGTGCGGCACTTCGTACGTGTGCTGAGGAGTTCGTCATCTAGTAGTGCATTAGCATCGACGGCGTGGAAAGGCCGACTCCAAAAACTCGATAGCACCACGATGCCGCTTTTAAAAGAAAAGTCATGGCGTGTGCAGAAACGGACGGAAATCGGGCCGCATCACGGTCGTTCGGAGTTCCCGAAACGTGCGTGCGGGACCTGCGGAAACAAAAGCAGAAGATTCTCGACAGCAAAGCTTCACGCAAAGGCTTCAAAGGACCACAGCAGGGTCGGTTTCCGCAAATTAAAGAGCTGCTCGGCAAGTATGTGCTTGAGCAGCGAGCGGCACAGCGGCCCGTGACGACAGAACTGCTCCAAGTGCGGGCTATGCAATTAGTCATGCAATGAGGTCTAATGCAGAGCCAGTTTAAAGCGAGCAGGTGCTGGCTAACTAACTTTATTTAGAGGAAAGGCTTTTCCCTCCGAAGGAAAACATGCATATGCGAAAAGTTTTGCGGAGGAGTTCGATGAAAAGCTTCACAGTTTTCAGAGGTTCGTCCTAAACTTGCGGCGCAACAATGGCTACCTGCTTGGGCAAATCGGGAATGCCGATCAGACGCCTCTTTACTTCGACATGCCTGGCACCACAACCGTAGAGAAGAAGGGGGCGAAGCAAGTTCGCGTGCTGACATCGGTCCACGGTAAAACTACCGTGACGGAAAGCTCTGTTACACGTCAGTTGGGCACAAGCTTCGCCCGTACCTCATATTTAAATAGAATACGCTCCCGAAAGGAGTAGTTTTTTCGAGTGGTGTGATCGTGCGGGCCGGTGAGAAAAATGGGTGAGCGTTGCAATTGATGTCTTACGTTTTTTTTTTTTTTTTTTTTGCGGTGGAAATCGGGTGCGCGTTACAATCGAGGGCGCGGTAGAATCGAGTAAATACGGTATATTATTTCCAAGGTCATATACACACAACACCATCTAGTGAGCAATTCTCAATACTAACTAGAAGTGGCTACTACTACAACACACTATTAGGAGGGTGATTTAGCAGTGGAATTTTCGTGTGGTTGTGCGTGTGAGCCATGCATATTATGAGTATTGTAAGCAAGTTTTGATAAATGTACACTTCTTTTTCCCCCTTCTAACAGTGCGTGTATTGCGTTTTCTGTCCTATCTCCTTTTGTGGCCAACCCTGCCAACGCTGACAAACGCAACAATGGAACTTCTGGTCACCATCAGATGTGGGGAAGTCGCGTGACCTGTGCAGAAGCGTCGCCTATGAGACCAGGTATGAGGTCACACTAGTGCCAAGATTTGAACAGAAAAAATATGTCCTGTCTGGCATTCCATAAGTATAGCTTTTTTGTCATTTTCAGTAGTTGGCCTAGGCCACCAGTGGGGCAACAACCAGTACTATGCCACTTGATGGTTCTTAGTGCTTTGGAAACATTGCTACTGCCAGAACCAGAGTACACGGTAATGTTCAGCTCTATCACTGACACTGCATGTGATGTTTCTGCTACGGTCACGCGTCTCTCCACATGTGACCATTAGCCTCTTTTGAGTAGGAAAACAATTAGCTGCACTGTGTAAGCCTTTCATTCAGCGATCCGTCTGTCCAATGCAGGTGCACTTTACCAGACCATCACAGAGTCATAATACCCTTTTTAGGTTATCCTGGTATGCTGCTGCATGTACCACTTTTCTGTAGAAACTCTTCAATGTAGCTTAATTGATGTCACAATCCATGACTAACCGCAGACAAAGGCAGTGGGAAGGAACGACTCACCATCATCTGCTCTGTTCACTGTCGTTGCGTCGGCTTCAGATTCAATCCAAGAGGCTCGCTTCTTCAATTCATCGACAATCGTGGATATCAAGGCGTCCATGAGTACGGCCTGCAGCACACGAAATTGTTTTCGAATGACAAGTACTATAGATACGTGCTCTACATACGGTGGAGGTGCTAGCAATCTGTACATCCGTAAGTCAGAAACCTGGTACATATAAACTGGCAAAAGTTTTCCGATAGCGAGAGGGCCCCGATATTCATGCTCGGATTTTCTCGGATTTCCGGTAGGTTCAGGAGCATTGCTCGCAGATACAACTTCCTCAACATCACAGAGCATTGCAGGGTAGCAAGACTCGCATTTTTCCTGAACTAAAGAAATCACAGTATATCCACGGAGTGAATGATGATGAGTGGGGCGAAGCGTCCGTCAGCTTATCCGTGCTTCCATTCGTCCATTCGTTCTTGCTTCCGTCCGTCTGCGCAACCATCCATGCACCCATCTGTCCGTCCGTTCATGCGTCCATCCGTCTGCGCGTCCGTCCATCCGTCTATCAGTCTGCTAGTCTGTCTATCCGTCCGCCCATGCATCCACCTAGTGAATACTTTAAGTACCGATATCTCCCATCTCGCATCCCCTGTGGCACATACTCCCTCTAGAGCGGGTATGTGCCACCGGTGGCTACGTAGATCACCAACAACAAACCCCATTGGATGTACAGACCCACACCCTAAGAAGCTTCGCCCCTAAAATCACTTCACCCACATGGTGGTCACTGTATTGCGAGTACTTTATCCGCGTTTTGAAAGCTGTTTTGAAAGTCGGGTTACAGCACTTAAAACGCCCGGGATAGCCTAAGTGCCTGGGCTGGGCATAGGCCCATAAATTAAGGGCTTGGGTCAGGCCATTAATAGAACCAGGTGTCATATAAATCACTAATACACATAAGAAAGCTGTACCAGATGCCATACGATTTGGTAAGGGTGCAGGCATTGTGCGTTAAATCAATTAATGCAATGAAGCCAGCAACATAAAAGTTTAGTTGACATATTCCTCAAGCTGTTATGGCATACCTGTCGCGAGAAGATCTGAAGTACAGACGTCTCATTCTGCCCGGGTAGTTGGAACTGCAGGAAGAGGCAGGGCAGGCAGTCAGGGTTGTCAGGCTGCGTCGGGCAGGCGTAGTCCCACGACAGCTGCTTGTACGGCAGGCTGAGCAGCACTACCTGTTTTGTACAACGGGAACATGTGACAGTCAGCTTTTCGGTACAGTCAAAGTTTGCTACGATGACGTTGCATAGAATGCAAGAGTGACTACGTTACGAATAATATTCATTACTGGCTGGCTTGGGTCCATGACGTGAACGCCGTCACGGTTGATGGCCACGAGGACGGGCAGGTCGTAGTGGTTCATCAGCGATGCTATGCCCGTCACAGGCCTCTCCACCTGACCGCTGAAGAAGGCGCTCCTGCGAAGGTGACCAAGAAAAGCATGCTGAATGCCACTATTTTGTTGTCAGAAAAGTGTCAAACTAGTCCATACGACAATGTACAAAATAGTGGGGACTGATTATGGGCTCATTTCTCTTGCTAGACACAACCTAAGTGAAACAACCCTCAGAATTACACAAACATGAACATCTAATAAAATAATAAAAAATTGCCTGCTGCTGTAGCTTATATGTTAAAACATTGGACGTGTTATCTGAAGGTTGTAGGTTGGGTCTTTACCTGCAGAAAGTTGAATATCATCCCCTTCAATTCTTTACGTTTATGGTACAATTGCTATACTGCATTTAAACATATCGATAATATAACCTATAGCTCTGTTGTCTTTTGGTAAATTAGGTTGCACTCACTCAGGAATGAATCATAGCTTTCATAAAAATTTTGTAATGCTAATAAAACCTACAGACTGCCTTCTGAATTAAGCATGCAATAGGCATTTCATCGCTGTTCTCCAGCTTAAAGGAGCACCCCAGTTCAGATATATTTTCTTTCTCTCGCTCTCCTTCTTGCTCTCTTTGTACTAGTTCTCTTGCACAATAAGGTTATTGCATCCGACTACAGAAAGACAACTGCATGTGTTGCGTGAGCAAAGCAGAAGAACAAATAATTCATTATTGTGGTTTAGAGTCCCAAAACCACAACACGAATATGAGAGACGCTCTAGTGGAGGGCTCCGGAAATTTCGACCACCTGGGGTTTTTGAACGTGCACCTAAAGCATTTTCGCCTCTAGCTGAAGAACAAAAACAGGGCGAAGATGAAGACGAAGACAGCTTGTGCTGAGTCATGATCATTATACTTTTTGTTAGCACTACGCACACAGCACAACGAAAAGCTTGAACAGCTCTGCATCAGAACGTGTAGCATCGTTGCAGCTAAAGCTGGAAAAGCAGGTTTTCTGAAGCTCCTTATTGAGGCGACTAGCAACAATACAGTCGCCAGATGCTCACTACCCCATAAATCATGATATTTGCAAGTAGTGAAGCACTTACTATTATGCCATTATTTATCAATCTGCAGAAAGTGAGATATTCGCATGTAAGGCATTACGCGCTCTTTGATGATGCTGGGGTTGACGACCATGAAGCATTAAGGCCGACCCCTTTGTCACGGAAAGGAAACTCTCAAGCCCCCCCCCATGTTACAAAATTCACATAGTGCGATGCCTGGTTGTTTCTTCATTCATCTGCCACGCTACATTACATATTGTAAAGAGGAGTATTTAATAGGTTAACGCCGGTTGGGTTAACACTGCACACAGTGCGCAAGGATGCAGGACAACAGGGCAGCAGCCAAGACACAGCCCCACAACAACATCGTCGTCTTCATTCCTTCTGTCATTTCACCCATGCCTGAGGTACCTTTCTATACTCGTTAAAATATGTAAATGTGATCCCTTGCCTGACATGACACCTGCGTAGAAATTTTTTGCGGAGTACTAATAAGAGCCAGAGTGGTTCTCAGGTAGAATATTCTACTGCCACGCGCAGGGCCAGATTTCATATCCCGCTTGATCCCGCATATTTTTTTTTTCTCATTGCGCGCCACAGCCGTCGTGGACACCAGTGGTGGCAGATAAGAATGCCACAAAAAGAACTGCTATTGTGATCTCAACAGCTTTCGCTGTAAAAAATTCAATAAAAGAAAGAGAAAGGATACTAGAAGATATTTTTGACCCACCCGTAGTAAGGGAATGCCCAGCAGAATTCCAGGTACTTGCGCATCAGACGACTTTCCTTGACGTTGCTCGCAATGGCCTTGTAGTGCTCAGAGAGACGACGCTCGGGGCCGTTCTTGGCACCCAAACCAAGAAGGAACCAGTGAGAGCGGCAGGCGTGCTCAGGCAGGAAGTCTCGAATTCGAGATCTGCACTCCCACAAGGAAACAAAAGAAAGGTGACAATGTTATTAATGGAAAAAGTGACTATAGCACGTCGTTCGATGAGAGCCATACAATCCGGGACAAAGCGAAAGAAAAAAAGATAAACTTTATTTGAAGAGAGATTTTTCTGATTTTCCTGCTGGCATGCATGTGGAGGATAGTTGACATTCCACTAAGTATAGACACTTTTGCAGAAGCATTCAAGTGTGACCATTTTGAGCTGATAACATAGCAGTTTCGTATGCATATTGAATAAAGAAATAGCACTGCAGGGAACTCACATGCACAAGAACATCACCTCCGTAACTTGTGTCGCAGGCGAACCTTTTGGTTGGGGATTATGTGGTCTCTCCCACTCTTGGTATTCGACTGGCCCATAACATCGAGCCTTTCACAGAATATCTGCTGGTTTTATTTGGTGCTCTTCGTGGGAATCCATCAGGAGAGAACCTTTTTCTTCCCTTTGAAAAGGGTGGCCTCAGCCTGGTACGTTTGTTTGTGCGACACTTGGTGCTGCGATTTTTTTACCTCAAAGACGTGTGCCGGCCCTTTCTTTATGCGGTCCTTCGAAACTGTCCTTCCATTTATTTATGTCACAACAGGCGTTGCTAAGGAATTTTAGTTATGGGGATTCCTAAAGGAAATTGCTGATACTGTCAATTTTTCGAATGGCAGATTTTGCTTAAGGCATTTGTATAATACTGACAAAACAATGCTAACTACTGCACTTGCGAGTAACCTTTTCCGTGAACTTCTTTATCGACTGCCATATTTGTTTTTGTCTGGCCATGGTGTATTGTTTTGTGTACTTAGAATGTGAATATCTCCTGCAGCAAAAACATTTTTCTTTAAACTGCACACTTCCACTCTACCAGTGAAGACGTGGCTCAATGAAAAATCAAAATATGTGCTCTGGACAGTAAGCTGTACACTCTGCAACAAACCTGACTCAATAGAGCAGTGTTTCATACATTGATGTGACGCATTTTATTCTTGGGACGTTCTAAAAAGAACGATCAGAAAAGAAATTCAATTCATGGCTCATGGTATTACGTTCCTCCTTTTCAAAGAAAGCCCTACCAGTAATACTCTATATGATCTGCTTGCGTCGTTGGGCCTTTCTACACTACAGAAAAGTCTCATTATTGACAGACAGGCCGAGCCATCACGATTGGCGAGGTCCGTCTTCTGAGAAGAAGCTGCTCAAGTGCGTAGTGTTGTTAAGACCTTCAACCCCATCCCAAAGGGGCCTCCCCTTCTGGATGCTTTTGCATGTTTTCCTGACTTCTGATGAATTACGCTGTGCCTAGTTCAGGATTCCTGGTGTTCATCCCAAGCATTAAAAAAAAAAATTCGGCAGATCCTACGTACCTGGGAATCAACGTTATGCGAAGCATGCGGAGGGAAGGTGACCGTGTTGTAATTCTCTTTATTGATCGACACGTCATGAAAAGAGGTTTAATATATGTACAAATGTTGCACGCACAGACATATGTTCAAGGGCTTCAGATGTTTATATAACCAGTTGCTTGCGCTTGCGCTACGATGCCAACTGGAACATGCATATTAGCAACATTAGAAGCTGATTTGAAGCGCTCACGCTCATGAGGTTGCTGGCCCTGGACACTGCTACATAAACCAACTTCAGCAGCATGGCAACCGACTATACAATTGACATTAACCCGACGTGAAGGCTCTATCAAACAGTACATATGTAATGTTTATAAAATTGAGTAGGCAGCGCTGCAACCACAATGGATATTTCACTGAAGATTAGCGTCTATTTGAAAAGTAGTTCCGAGAACTGGCCTAGCTGTGTGGTAGAATGCTTGGCTGCCACGCAGAATGCTTAGGTTCGATACCTGCTAGGACCCTGAAATTTATTATTTGCAGTTCGTCAGGGGATCAACGCTGCCTATGTCAGGTTGTTCTTAACACTAACATTTAGTCTATGCCTTCGTTAGGATTGATGCAGCCGATGTCGGGTATTGCTTGACGCTTCAACGCTAAAATTGCCTGCGTGTATTCTCGTCCTTCCTGACTAAATACTAAGTGTCAATCACCTGTGGCACATACCCGCATACCAGTGGCACATACCCGCCTGCGGGTATGTGCCACTGTCTGGCGGGTAAGTATTTGACGATGTATGCGACGGGATTGCTGACACGTAGTGATTTCTTAACGAGCCCGTCATATTCGTCAAACCATCTTACCCTCCCATGCTAATTTTAATCCACTCCAAGTTAAGGGGGCTGACCACGAGAGCACACAAACAAAAGCGGCTAGATAGATAGATACGCTCAAAGTCGCCAAAGTTCGCTAAGAAATGCTTCGCATTTAAAAAGAAACACTTAACGTCTATTTAACATTTGGTGACCACGGTCATTTCGTATTATGACATGAAAAACAGGCAAAATATTAGTTTGTTGACCGAGGATGGCGACGACCGTGGATCAAAAATTGTGTGTAGGCAGGGGTAGGTGGCTATACTTATTTCATCGTAAAGGCGGAGAAAAAAATTAAGGGAGTCTCACACTAGTCGTGCCAAGCCTGAAAGAAATGCAGTTGGGCGGCCTTCTTTGTCTCCCTTTCCCTCTGTTTCTTTCATCTCTTTTGTTTTTCTCTACATTGATTTCTACTCCTTCCTCTTTCAATCCTTGCTTTTTCTTCTTCCTTTTCTTTCTCCCTCTCTTTCCCTTTTTCTATGTCTACTTATTTCTCTCTATCTCTTTTTTATTCTGTCTCTGTCTCACTCTTCGTTTTTTCAGTTTTTTTTTATTTGCTCACTGATTTTATCTCTTTCTCTCTGTGCGCATTTCTATCTATGTCTTTCTATTTTTTTCTCTAACCTTCCCCATTTCTCTCTATTTTCTTTCTCTTTCTGTCTTTCTCCTTCTATCTCTGTACTTGTTCTCCGGTCCATCAGGGTTATTGCATTTCATGCCAGATAAGTCAGTGCACATTTGGAGAGCGAAGCAGAAGCTGGAGACGAAGACGAAAAGAGGGCGTGCGCATGATGATGATAATTTTACGTTTTCTCGGCAGGGCGGGACGAAGAGCTTAACAGCTCTGCTTAAAAAAAACGAAACTAAGAAATAATGTACAGGGACGGTTAGTTGATTGATCTGGTACTGCATTTCTGAACAAAAGTGCACAGGTTCGACAAGGATGACAGAAGGAAAACATGGACGCAACAGCATAAGCTATCAAGTCGGGCTTTACTAAGGAAACGAAGAAATGTGCTCATTGAACAACATGACGTGGTCCCAAAAAAGAAGAAAATGTTGAAAACTGTTATATTACAACTGGTAAACTTAATATAATGATATCTACAGCTGAGACGACACAAGAATTATGGATGTTATGTGTCATCGAGGAAAGCTTTCTCAAAGCTTCACAAAAACGTTCATTTCTGTCAAGAAGCAGAACGAAAAATTGGAGTCACTGCCACATGCTAGCTTCAAAGATTGTAGCACAGTTTGTTCAAAGACCACACAGACAGGTGCGACTGTATCCTTGCCTGAAGAACTCTGGAGTGTGCTTGAGAGGATCGTATGGTCCAAGTTCGAGCCGTGCCTGAATGGCACCTAGCACCATGCAGTCTTCGGTCTCACAGGGGTACCTCCCGTCGAGGACGTTGCCCTTGGCTTCCGCAAAGAGCATCTTCAGCAGCTTCAGGTCTGTGATCTGAACACACAAACACCGAAATAGGAACAACGCACAAAGTTGAATTTCTATATACCAGGATTACATTATGATTTTGAGGCATATTGACACTGGTAGGACTACGAATCAATATCGACCCCATTGGGTTCTTTAACGAGCCCCTGAATCTAAGTGTGTGGGTGTTTCGTAGCAAGACCGGCCTTGCTCGTATTCTCGTCGTTTCGCTTGAGGCCTGGCGGATCGCACCCCAAACTGAGCCATTGCCTAGCAACAGCTCGCAGCGCCGCATGCCGCGCTGCCTGGCCTGACATCAGAGAAGGAGCCGGTGAAACCGTATATATAGGAGGGGCGGCTCGCTGGGATTCGTCAGGAGACAAAGAACATATGTCGTTGAGAGAAGCCAGGCATCATCGGAACAAAAGCAAGAGCAGGCAGCGAGCCGAGGAGGCAGAGGAAGAAGGAAGCCGCACACCTCGGGAATAAAACCAATCAAGCTAAATAGTAAGATTAACCATACCTCATGCTACGCATACCTAGGCCTAACTGAGCTAAGCCACAACCAATTTTTTCACATACTGCCCACATCGAAATTGGTTTACTCTAGTGCGCCCCGCCACGGTGGTCTAGTGGCTAAGGTACTCGGCTGCTGACCCGCAGGTCGCGGGATCAAATCCCGGCTGTGGCGGCGGCATTTCCGGTGGAGGCGGAAATGTTGTAGGCCCGTGTACTCAGATTTGGGTGCACGTTAAAGAACCCCAGGTGGTCGAAATTTCCGGAGCCCTCCACTACCGCGTCTCTCATAATCATATGATGGTTTTGAGACGTTAAACCCCACATATCAATCAATCAATCAATCAATCGGTTTACTCTAGTGGTAATGAAAAATAGCAAGGCCATGATAAGCAAATGCAACAAGTTACTTGGTTGAAACTTGTTATGTTAACAAAAGCAGGCATCAGGTACTGACAGTATAAGCTTGTTGCGTGTTACTAGTAATGTTCCCATTACTGGGGCATTTTGTTCTGATGAGAGCTTTACTACTTGGATTTCCTGCTGCCATGATGCGTGTGTTTACTATGACATCATTTGCACCTGTACTACCTCTGCCTAGACATTGAAAATGCCACTGGCTGTATTGAATAAACAAAAAATATTAATCACAACAATTTATATGCAGTAACTGTGGTGCCATACCTCTTTCTCTTTGGATTTCTCGAGAAATACATTTCTCTGCAGTGTCAGCACTGGTTCATCTGTGACGGACAAGAGAAAAGAGAGAAAAAATAATCATGTAGGTGCAGATTGCTGGTGATACACAGAGAATGTTTACTATGACATCATTTGCACCTGTACTACCTCTGCCTAGACAGTGAAAATGCCACTGGCTGTATTGAATAAACAAAAAATATTAATCATAACAATTTATATGCAGTAACTAGACGCAGTAACAGAATCTAGATACAGGACATGCAGAAAATAAAGCCACATTACAATTTGACGAGATAACTGACACTCATCCCATTTGCAATTATGCAACCAAGATATAAAGTTAAACACAAACACATTATCCAATAAAATTACAAGACATAAGATAAGTAGTTATACTAAATTGTTTGTTATCCAACATCAGCATGTGACAAGTACTATCTGTTTAATGACCACAAGGTAAATCACTTGCCGCATGCGACCATGTCATAAATGAGACTCTAGAGTAATCTAGATAGCTTTTTCAGTCACCAGGACCTTGGCTAAGCTTAACATTGTAGCTAAGCAGCATGGTGCTGTGATACGTATTGGAAAACAAGGACATGGATGGGTAGATAGGCACCAACAATGACACCAATTATGCGAAGAAAAAGACACCGAATAGCGTTGTAAGCGTCTTTCTACTCGTCTGCGTTCTTGTTTGCCAATCCTGTTACATAGCTATAAACGAAACCAGCTGGTCCAGCTGTTTAGCATGCTCCGTCTTTTTGTGTCGATGTAAGAATCCCCCATACATTTTGAGGCCTCTGCTTAGACCCTCTTTAGTGAACAATGTTCAATGAATGAATGGACAGATGAATGACTACCTATAACATGGATTCTGATGATACAACAACAAATACGACTGCAAGGGATCATTAAATCATCGACATCTTGGAGAGAACAAGTGTTGATAAATAACCCTTTCTGTTATCTTACATGATTAAGACGTACTGATTGGCCAGATTAGTTAGTCATGATGAAATATGGCAGTGCACATCAAAACCCAGATGCCACTAAAAAAAATAGACAAACTGCAATCGCTCTTGTCTATTCTTCCGCATAGTTCAGCCAGCCACTTTTATTCAATACCACTGCAAACAGGAGTGCACATCGCAAAAACTGCACTTTCAAAGTGGCACGACACAATAAGCAATCTATGCACAAGATGAATGAGAAAAAGTCATCGAAAGGAATTGGCACGGCTTACCAGAGTCGAGTTGTTGCTTCGTGGCAAAGGTGTACTTCTTCAGGTATTCTGACCATCGCTCCCGGATCAGGTACGGTCTGTGATCTGGCTTGAGCTGCAGCTCTGGAGAGACATGCGAGAATGGAACAGACAAATACAGTAGACTCTCATTAATGAAACCTGAAGATACCAGAGAAATATGTTCCGTTTAACAGGAGTTCTGTTTATTGAGAGATGACCAAGGTGCAGAATACAAGAACAGAACCAATCTTGCCAGAAGCACTTGTTCCATTTAAGCAGCAGTTCCGTTTAACAGGTTTCCGTTTACTGAGAGTCTACTGTAGTTAAGACAGCAACTGCTCTTCTCAAATTAAAAACCCCATTCTCGGGCCCTACGAGCCATGATTACAAGGCACACTGTATTGCATGATTACAAATAGATTGCAGAACCCTGGACTGTTTTACTATGCACCCAAATCTAAATGTGCAAGTTTTTTTTTTCCTTTCGTCTCAATCTAGATATAGGTACAGTGGCCAGGATCCAAAACCACTTTCGTTGCTGCTTTCAATAATACTGCTGCAAAAGCTGTTGTGAGATTGCAACAGCCGATTTTAGTGGCATGGATAGCTGCCGCTGGCATCTGTAATCACCATCACACACAAAAGGGGGAAAAAATTCTAGACTGAGTGTGTTTTGAATCTAGGCCCTATGCGTGAGGGATGAGTATTCACCCACACACCTATGCCAGTGCTTGAAAGTCCCTCCCAAGAAGACCCAATACAGGCATCATTGCAAGCAAGGAAGTGCATTTACAGACGTATCATAGCGTGGTAGAAAAGTTAAGCACATAACACAAGACATCACAGCCATGAAAATTGCATAAAATACTTTAAACCTCCACCTCTGCAAAGGGTTCAGCCATAATGCATCATTCACATCAGCCACGACATCGGTAATGTGCGCATATCGCCTTATAGAAGCATAGTTGTCATCACTCCTCCTCACAATGATGAATAGTGGCATAGTCGGTACTTCCCTACTTCACTAAATAATGATTAACGGCATAATGAGGATAGTCACAAGTGTACTTGCAGTAGCTTTGTGCAGGCCTTCCATATTTTTTGTTTTACTGTAAATGAAGCCTATTGGCAATTTCTCAGCTAACAACCTACTACAGCACTTCATTCTATCCACCCTCTTTTTCTCAAGTTATTGCTCACACTAGGGACTGAGCTGCTTCGGAAAAAATAGAAAAATAGAAGTGGTACCAAGACTCATTCATGGCACAACATCACAGCGGCACATACCGAGCAACGGGGAGGTCACCCAGAGGGCAAAGATGTCCTTGACTTGTGCTGGGAAGTTGATCTCGGTGTCGTCCTCCGCGATGATGTCGACGATCTCATGGGCCGTTGCCAACTGGACGTTGCTGACCTCGACGCAGAGGCACACCTTGTTCATGAGGTACACGCACACCTCTTGCTCTGGAAGGCCAGCACCGTGCCGAAGTTCAAAGGTCGCACGATAACAAAATGAGGGAGGCCGGGGAGGCAGGCAGCGAGGTACGGAGGTGACACATCGCATGCAGAGGGACACTGACAAACATTTTTAACCTTTATCTACAAATTTCTGGTGATTCATGCCATTTTGAAGGAATAGTTAAGGTTCACACAGTTAACTTGCGCACCACGTGAGATAACCCCCTTTCCACCACTCCACCTTGTGAAGACCTAGCTATGTAGGTAACATCTGGTACTGTATGTACATGTGTGCCAATGAACTGTTTGGTCTCGTCTATTAAACACACAATACAGATGTTGCTTAAAACATGGTGTTTCCAGGAATATTCTGCCAACATTCTTAACCCGAAAGAAATATTATTTTTCACTAAATTTTACTGAACTTACTTCCATACTAATAGAACTTCAAATGTTGTCTAAAAAGGTTGTCTAAAATCCCAATAATGACAAATATTTTAAAGTATTTTTTTGTTGAATGACAACGAACATCAGCTATATGATGCTGAATGTGGTTACTGGTACTTAGCTTTAACTATCTGCTGGTACAACAGTAACAATGCTTTTGTTAAATTTCAGCGCCTTTGTTAACTGCGTACAACAATCGAGTTGTCGACGAAAGCTTTTATGGCCATCTACCATATTTACTCGTTTATAACTGGCCTCTATTACGGCTGCAAGTGGAAAATGCAATGCGCTTAATCTCCCTACTTTAGTACTTAAGCAAATCTGTTCACTCGGTAGTTTCTCACCGTAAGAGAAAAACTAGCAGTACACAGTTACAAATGACTGGGTGTTGCTTATTATCACTGTCAGACACGAAAAGCTTATCAAAAGCATTTTATGTTTAGGGCAGCTTAGTGTTTTCCAGGTACTGCATTTCCTAAACACTTTGCAGGCTATGGCGGCCTCAATATAAACTCGAGAATATACTACAACTATTCGGACTTATAAATATAATGAGCGAAAGCTACACAGCCTCAACAGCTGTGGGAGGAAATAATGGTAACGGCTTAGTTGCACGGCCATTAACGCGGGCAATTAGGTCGCAGGAGGTGCTGCAAGATGGTGTACTAACACTATCTGTCTGATGAAGACATTTCATTATTCTTCGAACGAGCCAGGTACCAATTTGTTGGTTTGAACTATAATGAATGGCCAGCTGACTCGCATGAAAATGCAGTGCCATAACCCCTCATAAAACAACAAGAAAAATCAAGCTGCAAATTATATGTGCCAAAAAAAAAATTGAGAGGTGTGAGTGCTTTTTAACATCCTGCTCGAAGAACACATGCAGTCATATAAACAGCTGATGAGGCTATCTACCTGTCCGAGGCAACAAAAGTAACCTATATTTTATGAAAATTTGTACAGCAAGTGTTGCCCCCAGAGGCCCTTCTCAAATAATGGCTAAGTCAACGTTTGGGAAATAAACAAAAAATCAGCAACACAGTTTTGTACAATTCACATGATTTTATTGCCAATGGGAGCAAAAACAAAAGTGACAGTTGCAGGGGGTCCGTGCACCGTGCACTGCACATGCGAAATCATGCAAGGCATAAACACACAAAAAAAACACATGCTCTCATGAACACAGAAGCTCTCTAAAGCATTTACATTCAACAATGGTTATGCTTAGCTAAAAGTTAAATAACTTCACAGTGATGAGCTAAAATAATGCATCATGCGAAGCAAACAAGCAATGATCACAAAAGTCAGCGCTATTCCAAACAAACACGCAGAAACAATACGGTATCTTACTGGAGTATCACAGATCACCTTAGGCTAATAAGGACATGTCGGGAAGCGATAGATTATTAGCGCTATAGTAGTTATCTAAAAACATTGAGCACATTAGGCATCATCAAAATTCATAATATAGGTTCAAGAAAACCAAGATAAGATGCATTCACTACAAAAAAAAAAGGATCCTCTACAGATCATCCAATACTGATATTGAACAAAAAAAAAAAGAACACAATGACACAAGTTAGTTTCAACCTGCAAATGACTCATGTACAAATCCACAAGAACCATCACAGAAAAAGATAATGCAACAGTGAGATAAGCTAACGCATGCGTAGCAACAGTAACAACATACGTGCATGTGTGGAACGAGAGCTTAACTACTAAATTTTATACTCAATCTCACCGAATACTAGAGGTGCAGATAAAAGCTAGGGGTTGTGTCAGACAGCCAGTAACAAAGACGAAGGATCGCCTATTGCAAGCGGCTACTTTTTCCGTACCACTATCGCTTCCTTGGCATCTAGCGGAGAGTGATCAGACTGAGGTGTCTTTTTATTCTGATTGGCTACGAGAAGCGCCGCTTTCAGCGCCCTGCATTGAACTGGAGAGAAGGAGAGTACATGTTCGGAACCCTTAACAAATGGCTCTTCCAACAAAGCTGCCAATTCTTTCTCGTCATAGGTCATCTCAGACGTCATTTTGCGAGTGAGCGCTAATGCCAATTCGGATGCAATACTTACTTCTTTCTCTGGGTTCAATTACAAGCCTCAATATAATGAATGCCAATATAACAAAATATCCATTATAAAGAAGTAAATTAAGAATAGCTTAATCATAGCTGCAGTGCCAAAAATAGACACTTAAAATAAATTTTCGGATATAACAAACCAATTTTTGTTTTGTATGCAATTACGTTACAATGAGGTTTGAGTGTTTCACAGAAGCAAACAAGAGATGTTATTTGCCACGATGCAACACAGTGTCAACTCCCATGTGACCTGCAGGTGATGCTGGGACAAATTAGCTACACTCTCGTTGCAACAACGCTGATGCCATCCGAACTGTAATGGCTAAATGCCGTCAGCCATAGGTAGGGAATAGAAAGTGCAGAACAACTTCGATGTCCTCGGAAGAGATATGCGCACCTGTTCCACTCAGTGAAAAGTTACAACAATACTTCAATGAGCACCCCTACTTTACTCTACACGAAATAGATAGTTACTGCATCCACAAGTGCTTCAAACAAAACACACAACATATGGATATGTAAAATTGAGAAGAAGAGTAATTAACAGCATAGATTACCTTGACAGAGCTGTCAGAGTTGGGTTACTTTTCTGAAGTGGCAATTTGTACAAATTAAAAAAGATGTATGCACCATGCAAAACGTAAATGTATTCCCAAATAATTCAGCAGGAGCGATAAGTCACACAAATAACTCGCAATTAGTGGCAGTGCGACGGCCACAGGAAAGAGGTGAACATGCATATTTGCCCGGGGTTACGGAATCGTGAACACAAAAGCAACATCCTGTCTACAACGACTCCATCCTCAGTAAGTTGTGCTCCACAACGACAAAGTTAATGAATGAATATATATGCACCATCTACTTAGAATATACTGACAGCATGACGTTCCTGCTTGGCTAAGGGTAACAAACAAGCAAGATGCAGGCAGCATATAGCACTATGTTGGAATGCCACTATTATCTAACACTTATGAGGGCTGGCAGTTCAAAGTAATGTGCCAAGCATGTACTTTGAATGTGCGATTGATTTGGTGCAGTGCTCCTGCACCAAATATTCAATATAATAAATATAACTTTCGATAGTGAAAGGAACTGCTTTTACCGAAGTAGCCAGTAAAGCATGGCATAACTTGCTTTATACTAACAGGCACCAGTGCTATGCTATGCTTCAAAGCCTGCCAAACAGAATCCCTTCAGATATTTCCTTTTTATGTTAAAAATGACAGCCACTATACCGTTATGTACTTTGTTACGCTACCGTTGTTTAACAAGACTGCCATATTCAAAGCTCCACAATTGCTTAACACAGTAGTGAGAGGATGAGTAGCTGCGTGAGATGCAAAGCATTCCTTGCACTCGTATAAAGACTGCACCACAACACAAGAATGGCATGTAGTTACATTTTTTTTATCTCATACGCTATTAAAAAAACACGACAGCTAGGAAAAAATGTTGGCTATTCGTACTTGCACAAGCAAACGTCTTTGACATTGATATTGGTCAAACTTATTTCAATCTGGGAATAACAAAACAGCACTAATAACGAAATAGGAGTGGTGGCTACATTCAACACACATGTACGTAAAATAATTGAGCCAATGGGTACATGGCTTCTGGAAGTGCCTTGAGCTCCGAGAGAATTGGTTCATATGGTGTGTTCAACCCTGGGCAGGGCTCGAGTTTATTTGTTTCTTTGTGACCCCTAGTGAAGCCAAGTACGACTGCAACCCTTTCTACAAAAAGCCTCATGATTCCTGCAATTGAGCACACACTACGGAAACCTTGAGGATTTATCTCTGTCACACACCATAATGATATTTTACCTTGCACTAATTTTCTTGCGATGAAACTGTGTGCCAAATGCTTTGAACTCATAAGCATTGTGCATAATATTAGCATAATATAGCCTTCTTAGTTGATATTGAACTTTTACTTGTAATCTTACCCTTCATGTAACACCCCCTATTGGGGGCCCTTAAGGAAAAAGAACTGAACTGAAAGTAGCAAGCGCAGTCTCTAAGAAATAAAACTCAAGCAAGCCAGATGACAATAATTGCTGTGTGACAAAGACATGCTCTTAAATGTGCAACTGCTTGTAGAATGAAGCAGGCACGGCACGCTGGCTGCTTTGATACGAGGTAAGAGGCGTTTGTGCGTGCAACCTGTCATGCAGGTGGCAGTCAAACGTGAAGCCACATCAGGAGTCATGAAAATCACGCAACAGCCGTGCAAGTGTCCAGACTAACCACGGGTGGCATGCCAATCAAAAGCAGGTTTGTTCGGTCACGTGACTGAGGAGGCAATTACTTGGCGGTGGCACCGGCGCGGGAGGTGGCGTCACTGGCCGCTGCTGGGGAGCTGGAGCCATTGGCGGAGCCAAGTTCGGAGTTGGAGCCGGAGCCGGCGGGGGCACCAGGTGATCCCGGGCTGCTGGTGTTGGCAGGATTCGCCAGCCCGGGGGCGTGTCGTCGTGACCGTGACCCACCGTGGTGAGGGGTGGTAACTGGTAACACTGCTGCTGCTGGCGAACGTGGTTGTGGTGTCCGTGGTGGTGGGACACCGCCTGTTGTTGCTGCTGCTGCAAGTGGTGGTGGCTCGCACTGGTGGCCGGGTGTGGGTGATACTGGTTATGGTGGTGATGTGTTGGTGTTGGCAGCTGGCGCCGTGTCGTGGTGGTTGTGGTGAGCGCCGGCACGGACACCGAGTACGGCGACGGCGCACTGTTGTGGTGATGGTGGTGGTGATGGTGGCCATGACGGTGGTCCAGCGTGGCGTAGTCGCTCCGCTTGTCGCCGCCCACCGCTGCCGGTCCCCCACGCAGGGTGCAAGCTGTGTGTGCATGCACGCACACAGGGCACGGGCGGAAACAATGCAGCACGACGCGTTTTTACGCACCGGACACGTAAAAAAACTACAATAAACCGCTATTGGCCGCACCCATTTGCCAAAACACAAAATCTTTTCGAGGGACACTTTAGGCAGGACAAATGTACAGTCAGAACCTCAGAGCGTAACAATCAGTGTAAAATGAAACACACTTTCGTTACAAATGTGTATTCTGGTAGCGCAGGGCTGAACATGAAAAACACAGGGGGCAGTGGCACAGCCAGGAAGGAGGGGAAGGGTTTGCGGTTATAATCTTGCACCCCCCCCCTTCCACTTTTGAATTTCGCACAACGATCTAAACACACACAACAACACAGGTACAAGCACCCATAAAGTGTAAATGAAAACCTCCTCTGAGAAGGGTTCTGCCTAGGTCCCTGTTTAAAAGAGAGACTGGGTCCCTCTGCAAAATTTTCAGACCTCACCCCACACACCCTTTCTCCCTGTTATCAGCAACACGCGCACACATCGCAACACCTGCATGCGGATGTATACAGGCAACCTGTCGGCAACTTCCATCCTCAACCCCCCCCCCCCAACTCAGAGTTCTCTTCAGCACCTTCACAAAATCAAGGACCGTCACATTCTGTTTACCGCACAACCTTGGCCACATCGGCCGAAATTCAGGGAGTTGCGTTATTAACGGGGGACGAAAACGAAAATACCCGATGCTGAAAATTGAGTTCAATGACAGTTCTTGGGCGCTTCCAAATAACAGTTATCGTTCACTACTCACTAAAATTCGATCACACGTACGCGTTGCAGCTCGTGGCGAATGGACACGGTTCCCGCCTTCAAGAGGGCGCGCCTACACGAAGCTGCTTGACATGTGGTATTAACGCTCCGCAGTGACAGCTCTCGCGCTGCAACATAACAATTAGGCGCCGATAAATCAGGAGCCTTTAGGTGCATGTACAGTATCAACTTTTATAAACGGGAACACGCGGGCGCGTGGCCTGCGCTCTGCTGCGGCTGCCTGCAGCGCCATCATCTGACAGATAAACAAAACGCGTCCGCTTTTGGCGGCATCGCTCGTTGAAAGACCAGAGCGCGAGCACACTTTAGCAGCGCTTGTCTAACGTCGTGAATAGTTATTTCGTTTGCTAACAGATGGCGCAAAAAGCGGACGCGTTTTTTTTTTAATCTCCCGTTTGATGCTGCTGCAGGCAGCCGCGACAGAGCGCAGGCCACGAGCTTGCTCATTTAAGCGGGTAGACTTTCAGCGGGTAGACTTTAAGCGGGTAGAGCTTAGGCGGGTAGACTTTCAGCGGGTAGACTTAACTAGAAGGAGGTTATCTGATTGGTGGCTAAAGTCAAGGCACGAGTGAAAATTAAACTCTTCACTGCAAAGTACGAATCCTCAAACTCACTTTTTAAGGAAAAAAAAATGGTTCATTAGGTATTACGGCTTGGTGGCGCTAGCCACCGCCCGATCTAAAGGGTACATCCATATCCATTCATCCATCCATCCATCCATCCATCCATTCCCTTTCATACAAAATGACACTGTATAGTAACCTCAAACGCAGGTTGCAACCGAAGGAACAGTCTGTAGACCGGCACAGCGGGACTACGTTTTCGAGGCGCACGTGGCGAGAGCAACGCCGCCTCTTCGTGAAGCGCCACTCCTCCCTCTTCCCGCTTCCCGCGACGACGTTACGTGAAACTAGGGTACAGCGCGCGCGGCACGGTGCTGCAGGTCGACAGCGCTGCACGAAGAGAGTGCGTTGACAATCGCCGGCGACTCGCGCGCAGGGCACGTACTCGAGAAGAGAAACGAGGGCTCGCGCGGCGACCCGAAATGGCGATGACCGCCGACAGGGCGCGCGCGCGCGCGCGCCAGGATCATTACCGCGAGACTGTACTATACGAGCCAAGTAACGTTGGTGCGAGGCACACATACGCGCCACGACGAGACTTACTGGCCCCGTCTACGTAAGCGCGCGCTGCCCGGACATACTTCGAAGTGGGCCGAGCGAGTAGCTGGACCATACGCGAACGCCAGCGGGACACCGTGACCGTGCAATCGCCAGAAAATGGCGCCGGCGCGCGTGCTGCTTAATTGTCGCTCCGCAGGAGCCGTTGAGTTTTTTTGTTTTGTCCTTTTTTATCTTATTCGTTTTTGTTTAGACTTTCGTACGGCGCGGTTGGAAAGCGCAAGGCCCTCAATAGCGGAAGGCCCGCACGACCACCAGTTGCGTCAGTCGTGTAAACGATTGTTCCAAACTAGGTTGTCTATAGGACACGGTGCTATCGAGGCGCCTTAATTATTAGCTCTAACGTGAACCGGTGGAAACAATTGTGGTTGTCGGCCCACATCTTTTCCCGACGTATCGACGACGGCATCGGGATTGAAAACTAACAAAAAAAGACCAGCAAAATCACGCGCAAGTAAGTTCTGAGAGACTATAGTTCGAGTGCTAACGTACCCTAAAGAGAGACTGTTAAAAAACACATGCCCATAAAGGTCGTGCATGCATGTTCACGTTTTTCATCGAAATTTTATACGTGTCAACGGGAAAGCTATGCTGTACTAGAACTACTACTACCAGTATGTGTATGAGCTATACTTCTAGATGAAACTATAAATCACTAGAAACAGCACGGACACAAGGGACCAGGAAGACAGGACTTAACGCTAGAAAGACACACGGGCAGCGCGAAGTCCTGTCTCCCCGGTAAAGTGGCGCTATTTAGCGCCAACGCACAATGGTGGACAAATAAGTCCCGCTGCACAACTTCAAGAGGAACGTTGGCCGGAAATACGACCGTAAATATTTTGCTTCCATCAACTATGACGACGCCATATATGCACGCGCACTTCGGAAGTTTGGTAAGCTATATCCACATCCTCTGAAACAGCCAGTCGGTGAACGAACGAAACTCGCTGTGAATCACCACCGACTTGAATATTTGTTGTTTCATTTGAATGTAAACATTCGACAGAAGTTTGTATACAGATTCGCAAAGGCGCTATACTCAGCCGCAGGCTTGCGAAGTGAGCTCAGCAGAATTCTTTTCAGCCCGGCTACCGCGAATTCAAATCTACCATGCAACCTCCACCCCACCCAATCCAATTTAATATTTTCTTACTATAGGAACTCGAAACTCTGACCAAAATAATTATGTTGCACCTCGCTTCCTCAGACTCCAAATCGGCGAAATCCGGCTTAGCCGTGCTCACTCGGACTCGAGCTACACTCCTCAAAAGTCCACGCAACCTGGCTCGCCAAAGCCGAAACTAGCAAAAGTTTCACGAATCCTGACTTCGGAATCTTCGAAATTCCACTCGAACTGCCTGCCTGCCTGTCTTTGAGTCGGGCGAAGCAGCAATAGAGCACGAGCAGGAGGGGGGGGGGGGGGGGGGTCGTTTATCGAGGCAGACATGCTGAGAGTTACGTCGGCCTTAATCGATTCACTGGTGTTAACGAAAGGGGAGGGGGCAGTAAAGAGAGAAGGTGGTGATGAAACGACACCTCGAATGTATAAAAACTGTTTATCTTGTTCGATTCTGTCTCGCCTGAAAACGTTTTAGCGCTTTTGAAATATTGCTCTGATGACGAGGTGGAGGTCCCAACAGAATTTTTTCTGATACTTATTGCTTCATAGATTTTCAACAAGAAGGTGACCACTCATTTTTTCTACATGTAAGACAGTGGGTGGTTGGGGAGGGGGGGGGGGGAGATGCGTTGCCCGAGCAGCAACTGCGCACTTTCATCACAAGGGCGCGCGCGCTATCTCGGCAGACGTCAGTAGACGACTCGTACCTATATTCGTGCTGTGCTTTAACCACTTACTTCGTGTTGGGAGGACAGAAAGGACAAAAAAAAACACTTCGCTACCTGAAGCGGTCGTATTTCCCTGCGCCAGTGTTTTGAAATGTACCGGGAAATCGGATCCTAAATGAGTAAGCTACTATAGCCTTAATTCGTGTTACGTTAGGATTTGTTGTGCTATCGCATTTATTGCATCGCCTTTGCATTGAAAATGTCTCTTTTTTTAAATCCTTGCTTTCAAAAATCCTCAGTATGGCGCAATGTGTAGCTATATGGCGTTGCACACCTGAGAGCGGCGAGCTGTCGGAGCGTGGATACTCGACGGGAATGATGGTGACGCAGTTGTGCGTCATGTAGTTCTCGCAGGGCCCCTGGTGGTGGTCGGGCTGCTGCTGCTGCTGGAGATGGTGCTTCATCATACTGCTGCTCTCTTCGTCTTCGCTGCTGCTTCCGCTACTGCTGTCCTCGGGAACCAGATCGCGCATCGAGACCAGACGGGCCCGCCTCTGAGATGGGACAAGAGCGATTGACACAGCGTGAATCGGATATCCTGTGTAAGTGCATGCGAAAAGCGACACATGCACACTCATGCAAAGGCATGCCCACGAGCAAGCAGTGCAAGCGAGAGGACAAACTATACAAGAATGCGCCAACGGTTCTTGCGAAAGAGAGAGCGTAAACATATTTGTCTACGAAGTAGCTAAAAAAGAGAAGGCCAGGCACTCTTATTGTAGAACGCATTGGCCTCGACCAGCGTCCTGGGACAAAGGAGGTTTAAAAAAAACTTCTGCAGAAGGTCAATAGTCTGTCATATCTCTAGGAAGATGTCGGCCGCAGCTTCCATTTTTTAGAGGACACGGCTTCACTTTCAAGCAGCAAATTCCACTTCAGCAGGTTCTTTCAAACGTCCTTGCCTAGGACCTGGGCGATCATTACTACCTGATCGTCGGTTGCGCTGGCAAGCTCCGAAGCTTGCTAGCGGCGGTTGTCAAAAGTTAGCAGGTGGGCCGCGCCCACTCTCCAATCCATGACGTCGTTGTCACGTGATCCGTAATCCACGCTTCTCACCCGAGGATGTCTCTGCCGTTTGAATAACCCTTAACGTACGTATAACCCGACAACATTTATAAAATGAAAAAAAAATAAGAAGCTTGCCTTCCCCTGCCCAAAGAGAATTGTCGAACAATGAACAATAAAATCCCGAGTAAGCGCGTAAAACTGCACGTCACGCTTCCACAAAATCCGAGGCAAGATTCGGCCCTTTACAGCGGCATGCAGCTTCCGCGTTTCGAAACTCCCTCTCCGATTTGTCCCACCGTCTCTTAAGGCTCTGCAGCGAGAAGAAGGTAAATGTTGCGGAACTGCGTACCGCGGTATAGGTGTGTGCATAGAAACGCCTATTCATGTACGCGTTACCATCCACACAACAGACAACATCTCTTTCTTCCATCAGCAGCAGTCGTTTAACGGCATTACAGGACACAACTTACAGCGACTATAAACGAGTCCCGGCGCAATTATTTATAGTTCCTTCAACCGGCAGCGGCGCTGCGGGATGCTAAATCAGGAGCAAAAAAAAACGCGAGCCCGGAATCATCCGCGCCGCCTCTCCTCGTCGGAGAAACAAACCGCGAACGACGTGTCCAGTACCGCGACGAAGAGAAGAACGGAACAAAACGAGCGAACGGAGTCGAGCCGTCACATGACCCGTGACGGCCACGCAGTTTTCCTCCATGCATGCACACGCTGGCGACACGGCGTGCACGACCGGCATTTGCTTCACTCGGCCACTAGACGGAGTAGTGTCTGTTCCGCGCGCGCGCGCGCGCGCGTGTGTGTGTGTGTGTGTGTGTGTGTGTGTGTGTGTGTGTGTGTGTGTGTGTGTGTGTGTGTGTGTGTGTGTGTGTGTGTGTGTGTGTGTTAGTCTCAGTGTGCGTGCGCATGCGATTGGGGGTGGGGGGTGGGGGTTGGCAGCTGCAACAAAATGGCGCTCTAGACTACGCAACGCCATGTGTTGTGCCCACGACCTACAGTAGGTCGTCGTGGTTGTGCCTTGCTCCACTCTAGCCCCGCCCCTCTTTTTTGGTCCTATGCATTGACGAGCGGACGACGAGGGACCAGATCCCTCGAGGAACCGACCCGTTTCGCACAAAGCGATAACAAAAACAAAAAAGAAGGAGAAATGATGCGGGTGCAAGGCTGCTGGGAAGAACATCGTGCGACGATGCTAAACGTTTCCGCGGTGGCATTGCAAACGCTCCGTCATCGCGTTCCTTCTTCGAGACGCTTTCGTTGGACTGGCGTTCATGCGTCTCATTGTGTACAGACTGACAGTCGAATGGACCCCGTGGTTGAATGGACTCCGTGGTTTTGTTCCCCGGCGACGCTTTTGGAAAGTGGTGCTTACGAGAAGGCTGGGGATATGATTGAGAGCTCTGAAAAAGAACTGCATGGCTGTCCGCATACAGACACGGAAGATTTATATAGCCACCAGGAATCCATTGGGCGGCGCAAAGATACGTTTCTTGCGACATTTAGGGCCCCTTAACACTGGGGTAATTACGCGCCATACGTGCCAGCCATTTTGGCGAGCATCTCGATTGTATTAGAAAAAAAAATCGTGTTCATTTACCGCATCGGAAACAGTGATATGCTTGAACATCCATTTCTGACTGATAACATTCTTGGTCGAGAAATTCGTAACACATCATCAGTTTATTCGTTGGAAATTTTATTTTTTGAGCATCATTCCGAGCGCCATTTCTATATCTTTTTGTAGACATACCTATACACCCCACAATTCATAATCCCAAATGTCGGCTTGACGCACGTGCTAATCAATCACTGTCATAATGTTAGAATACCACCCATCACGCGATAGCTGATACAGCAGATAAGGTGCCGCACTGCAGAGTTCGAGCACGTGAGTTCGAGTGCCGCCCACCATTCAGTCGCATTTCGATGAGGGCTAAATAATAAAAAAACAGCCCAGACCCCAAGATTTAGGTTACAATCGCTTCCAATAGGAGTTGAAACATGTTGCTCGTGGTCAAAACGTTGCATACACTGCCAGCGTTATAGTGTTATAGTGGCTTCAAATATGGCCACCGCGCGAGCAGGAATCGCAAGTGGGCGCGAAATTAGTACGGTTTCTCGTTACGGCGCGCCTCACGCTAAGGCTGTGGTTGTGGCACGTGAAATTCCGCCAAATCTAAAACTTCACACCCATTTTGTGCTTCACTTGTTGCCCGTTTCATTCGCTGCGAAAACAGAAATATAACAGAATCAGCTTCACACTTTTGTCGTGCGCAGTTTCAAAGCTTCCGCATTTAAATATACCACTAACAATTATCATCAATAAATAATGAAAACATCGAGGTATTGAACTCACATTTCAATAAATAAGAAAATCTCTCGCTATAATTCAGGTCACAACGCCGGAAACCCACAACCATCCCGTCTGGCTCCAGTGGACTTTCGCCCTATAACTGTTTCGAAATCGCGAGGTATAGGAAGTTTGTGTGACAGCAACATTTTGTCACTCGCTACCACTGTGTGTTGATGCGGGCTCTGCGATGGCTCAACGAGGTTTTCCAAACCATATACTCCCGCCGCGTATTCTCTTGTCTTCCGAGACAACACCGGAACGCGGTCGATGGTTTCGTCCTTTGCGCAACTGCAGTGACTCGGCCAACCCAATTATCAACCTTGTCATTGTCGTTGTCCTGTCGCCGTCCCTAATGGCGGCTGGTAATGATAACAACCCGTCTGCATGCGGCAGCGCGGGCAATTGTTTCGCTGTGGCGACACGCTGCGTGTACATATACATACGCGGACACTTCGCCGTATACATATCGGTAGGGTGAGTACACACAGCAGACTTCGCCGTACATATCGGTAGGGTGAGTACACCCTGCAGACTTCGCCGTACATATCGGTAGGGTGAGTACACACTGCAGACTTCGCCGTACATATCGGTGCGGTGAGTACACCCTGCAGACTACACGGACACACATACGCAGAAGAACTATACACGACTTTCGCTAGCAGGGACTCTTGGTAATAATGCGCCTCCGGCGGTGTGTGTGTACGAAGGCATGCAGATAGTTTGGCTGATCGATCGCACTCCATTGTGTTGCGGCACCACCACGTGTCTCGTTTCTCCTGTATACTGGTGTGCGAGTGAGCATTTCGTGAGCGCGGCCATGTGCACAACAGGCAACCCTGATCCGTGCCTTTTCGCAGTGTGCTTAGTCACCGTGGAATAAAGGAAACGGAAAGGAAGGAAATATATACACTTTCTTAAAGAAATGGTCTAATTGGGGCATCTTTTAGTCACACGACGGCAATCGTATACTTAGCAAAGCGAAGCGCGATGGAATGAAGCGAAAAAGTGAGACGGACGGGAAGACCGCTACACTATAAAACTGCGAACATTTATCGCAAAGCAACGGAGCAGATAGACAATGTGAGCCCGTGCACACGACCTCCGGGAAAATAAAACGTTCACAGTTTTTAGTTTACCGCTCCTCTATAGTCTGCATCGCTTTTTCTGTCCCGTCCACTGCAGTTCACTTCACCAAGCACGCGCATCACCGAATCGCCCAAACTCTCAACGATAGCAGTCCTCTGCATATCTTGCGTTTCCGTCCTGTGTATACTTGCAGACCCTGTCATGAACGGCGCGCGACATCGGCGCTTTCGGCTGTCCCGCAGGACATCGCCTATAACACCAAGATGAAACGCATAAAACACGAGGGGGGGGGGGGGGTCACTGTAACCAACGTTTCGACAACTTTGATTGATATGTGGAATTTAACATCCCAAAACCGCCATATGATTATGAGAGACGCCGCAGTAGAGGTCTCCGGAAATTTCTACCACCTGGGGTACTATGACGTGCACCCAAATCTGACCACACGGGCCTATACAGCATTTCTGCCTCCATCGGAAACGCAGCCGCCGTCGCAGCTGGGACTCGATCCTGCGACCTGCGGGTCAGCAGCCGACTACATTAGCCCCTAGACCACCGCGGCGGGGTGATGTTTCGGCAGGTGGACTTTTAATATACGCTTAAAGCTACTGTGCGCATCCAGGCCGCGGCTTTTCGACGGACGCACAAGGCGTGAAGCCTTTGTATTGTGGGTACTAATGAACGTTCAAGAACACAGGATGGTCGAAGTTTCCGGAGACCTCAACTACGGCATCTATCATAATCCCAAATCGCGGTTTCGATCCGGACACAAAACCCCGAATATTATCATTGGTGTTGTGAAAGAGCCGATTCGTGTGTTCGCGTTTTCCAAACGTAACAAGAAAGAAAAAAAAAAAACTTAACCTATAATGACAACGCGCCGTCCTTCGTTCTGCAAGTTTATAAAACTACGCATACGAAAGGTATAATATTGCTTTGAATTGGCACACGCATTCCGACGTGTCAGTTGTCATCATAGTGTTAGCATCAAATAAGCAACTATACATAATATAATAGAAAACCCACAGTGAC